CGCAATAAAAATAGCAAACGGACGTATTGTTAAAGTTATAGCCGACAGAAAATTAGTTTAAGAACGCGCTAAACATCTGAATCGCAACTAAATCTTGGATTGAAGTCGCCATTTATTGTACTAAAAAGTAAACACATCATATGACGTCACTATTCCCACAAAGTTTAGTCAATGTTTTAAAATGAATGTGGTTGATCTACCTATGAATAAATCAATAAATTAATTAACGTCTTTAAATAAATTTGTAATTAACAGTCTGTCTGAAAACAAAAATTGTTCTCTACCTACATACTATTTTACAGTTCTGCATATAGCGTAGATCCTCTACAGTAGTCAATCAGACAAACAAACAAATAAATAAATATTCAAACATGTAAACAAACTTGAGTTTTAGTAGTATACTAGAATACCCGTTATCTAGTTAGATGACTGTCGGTTTCGGGGGGGGGGGGGGGGGTCATCCATAAATGGCATCTCGTCATCCAGCACTTATCATCCCAAAATAACCAGACCCCACATTCAAAAAGATGTTTTTTTATATTTTAAAAACTCTACTAAACTCTACTTCACCTGCCCAGTGCCTCGCAAAGTCTCAGACATGTTTGTATTTTTTTTTAAAAAAAAAAAACGATTCCGGCCGAGCATGGCTCTGACCACACTATCCCTTCATATGCTGAGAATATAGAAACAGGTGAACTCTACTTCACCTGCCCTGTGCCCCGCGAGGTCCTGATAGTCAACCTTATCATTCACATATAGGCCTTAAGAAAAAATAATTGAAAACATTGTTGTAAAAAAAAAATCTTTTTACTATTACTAAAGTCATTATTCTAAACTTTTATAATCGATGTGGTTAATCTACCAATGAATATATCAATAAATTAATTAACGGCTTTAAATTAGTTTGTAATTAACAGTGTGTTTAAGAAAGAACAATATTTACCACCCAAAATCCTATTTTACAGCTCTACGCATAATGCAGATTCTCCCCAACAAAAAAAAAAAAAAAAGAGTTATGAAACGCCACTATTCAGTCAAAGTTAAGCCATTGTTCTAAAACTTAAAAATTAATGTGGTTAATCTACCTATGAATAAATCAATAAATTAATTAACGTCTTTAAATATATGTGTGATTAACAGCCTGTTTACAATCAAAAATTGTTCTCTACCTACATACTATTTTACACTAATTACAGCCCCCCCCCCCCCCCCATATAGAGCAGTTTCCTTAAAGTACCATATCAGACAAACAAATAAATATTCAAACATGTAAACAAACTTGAGTTTTAGTAGTATATAGATAGATAGATAGATTGGATACCTTTACTAATATTTGAGAAGAGACCCACGCTTTTCTTTAGTTATTTAAATAGTAGTGAATAATTTATTTTCTATAAAAATTTTTTTTTTAAATAACTATAAAGAAAAGCGTGGGTCTCTTCCTAAATATTAGTAAAGGTATCCAATAGATACTTAAGTGAACCACGCTTTTCTTTATAGTTATTTAAAATAATTTAAATAGTAGTGTATAATTTATACGATATTTTAGACCTTGTGAAATTCTTACTAGTAACTATTTCAAAGAGTTGTCGTGACAAAAGTTTTAATATATACTGAAATATAAGCAGTTTAAATTTAATTGCTGTAAGTGCATAAATAAAAAAGCATTAGAATTTTTAAAACAATGCGTGTATAATAACGCAGAAAATAAGTAGGCCTACACACACAGAGAAGCAAGCATGAGGAAACACGATAAATAAAAGCTTGTAATAAAACAAACTCGCTTTTCGTTGCGCATCGTTTACATATTTAGCGACCAGTGCTTAATTACAGAAAGCAAGTTTGTTCAAGTTTCTTTTATTTTCCTATTTTCAGAGCTTTTAAAAGCTTATTAAAAGATTTTTTTAAAAATTGATCTTTGAATTATTTGACTGTTGTGGAAATCGAATATTTGACATTTGATAACAAACTGTATCGGCTGGTGTCCATTCGTTATTTTTACACTCAAGTGGTCAGCTTGCCCCACACCCCCCCCTCCCCACACACACACACAACCTTAGACCTTCAAACGCCGAGAACCTTCCGTGCATTGCCCACGTCCGCACTGTACCGTCGTCATTCTCTGCTACAGCCGGCGCTACTAGTCCGCTTCACGGCTTGTACGAGTGAGCCGGGGGCCGTTGAGCCGAGGGCCGATGGACGGTGCAACATTTCGTTTATTATAAGTGTAAAAAAAATGCCTAGAGAGTAATGAGTTCGCGCTTTCAAATCTTCAAGTCTGGTCAGGCAATCGTGCTAGTTTGGTTTCTAAACATTGCTGGGGCATAGCTGGGGCATTGAGATACCAGTACCTAGTGGGTACGACAATTAGCTTTACGACTACGAGTAGATAGGACATTTAGACGACTAGTGGGTAGGACATTTAGACGACCAGTGGGTAGGACATTTAGACGACCAGTGGGTAGGGCATTTAGAAGACACCTTAAGGATGTGAAGACACCTTAAGGATGTGAAGACACCTTAAGGATGTGAAGACAAGCTTTTGATTTGAAAGTTTTTGGTGAAAGTGAAGCACTCGAGCGTTTTGATGTTTCCACCCGTTTTGTCATGTGCACAAGCCCCACGCCACACTCCGCGCCCCGCTCAGCGCGTGCTTTAGATGCTAAGTAATGTTGGCTCCCGCCCCCACAGCATGTTTGATACAAAGATGAGCCACTCACGCCGTGCAAGTGGCTCGAGCAGGGCTCACGTTTGATGCACACATCAAAGTAAGTGCCGGCCCAGTCCAACCGTCGTCAGCTGCCACCCGACCACTTCCTTCCAGGCTTCAAGAAACTTTCAAGTCAACAATTTTCTGACGTCTTGGTGGAATAGTTCATGTAATTACACCCCATTACAGATTTCTATTTTCGCTTGCAGATGTTCAAAGTGTTGGCGCTATATTTAGCATATTGGGACGTCATTGCGCTGTTCACACTCGTCTGTTGACCAGTCGGTGTATTTAGTCACTGGTTAGGGCAGACGTCGGTGTATTTAGTCACTGGTTAGGGCAGACGTCGGTGTATTTAGTCACTGGTTAGGGCAGACGTCGGTGTATTTAGTCACTGGTTAGGGCAGACGTCGGTGTATTTAGTCACTGGTTAGGGCAGGCGACGGTGTATTTAGTCACTGGTGGTGATAGACGTCTGTGTATTTAGTCACTGGTTAGGGCAGACGTCTGTGTATTTAGTCACTGGTTAGGGCAGACGTCTGTGTATTTAGTCACTGGTTAGGGCAGACGGTGTATTTAGTCACTGGTTAGTCAGACGTCGGTGTATTTAGTCACTGGTTAGTCAGACGTCAGTGTATTTAGTCACTGGTTAGTCAGCCGTCGGTGTATTTAGTCACTGGTTAGGGCAGACGTCGGTGTATTTAGTCACTGGTTAGGGCAGACGGTGTATTTAGTCACTGGTTACGGCAGGCGACGGTGTATTTAGTCACTGGTTAGGACAGACGGTGTATTTAGTCACTGGTTAGTCAGACGTCGGTGTATTTAGTCACTGGTTACGGCAGGCGACGGTGTATTTAGTCACTGGTTAGGGCAGGCGACGGTGTATTTAGTCACTGGTTAGGGCAGACGGTGTATTTAGTCACTGGTGGTGATAGACGTCTGTGTATTTAGTCACTGGTTAGGGCAGACGTCTGTGTATTTAGTCACTGGTTAGGGCAGACGTCTGTGTATTTAGTCACTGGTTAGGGCAGACGGTGTATTTAGTCACTGGTTAGTCAGACGTCGGTGTATTTAGTCACTGGTTAGTCAGACGTCAGTGTATTTAGTCACTGGTTAGTCAGCCGTCGGTGTATTTAGTCACTGGTTAGGGCAGACGTCGGTGTATTTAGTCACTGGTTAGGGCAGACGGTGTATTTAGTCACTGGTTACGGCAGCCGACGGTGTATTTAGTCACTGGTTAGGACAGACGGTGTATTTAGTCACTGGTTAGTCAGACGTCTGTATTTAGTCACTGGTTAGGACAGAGGTTTCCATCACGAGTGTAAGCAGTGACGTCATAGGTGCGGCAAGACACTTAGCCGACATGCGCAGAGCGCGAGGTGATGAGAGATTTTTGTATTGTCAAGTTCCGGTTGAACAAGATTGAACATTTCACACTTGCACCGCGGCTGGTGCGCTGATCGGGCTGGCCAAGTGCTCAAATGACGTGTGACGGGGAGAGAACTACGACCGATCTTTGAGCCGTCTAATGGAGAAGCCATCCGCCGCCGCCTCAGGTGAAACATGGCTGCTGGCTGCTAACAGGCTCGCCACGTCGCGTGCTTCAGGCTGGAGGGCAGGCTGTGAGTCCCACAACCTCTTGGATCCACCACAACTGGCAGGTTACACAGTAACCAGTTGGCACCACAGTAACCGGTTGGCGCCACAGAAAAAGGTAGTTCCAGAATCTTCAGGTTCCACAACAGGTTGTATAGACAACAACAGATGGCAGACATCCACTAGATGACATAAAAACATCCACTAGATGACATAAAAACATCCACTAGATGACATAAAAACATCCACTAGATGACACAAAAACATCCACTAGATGACACAAAAACATCCACTAGATGACACAAAAACATCCACTAGATGACATAAAAACATCCACTAGATGACATAAAAACATCCACTAGATGACATAAAAACATCCACTAGATGACATAAAAACATCCACTAGATGACATAAAAACATCCACTAGATGACATAAAAACATCCACTAGATGACATAAAAACATCCACTAGATGACATAAAAACATCCACTAGATGACATAAAAACATCCACTAGATGACATAAAAACATCCACTAGATGACATAAAAACATCCACTAGATGAAAAAACATCCACTAGATGACATAAAAACATCGACTAGATGACACAAAAACGTCAATTAGATGACATAAAAACATCCACTAGATGAAAAAAAAATCCACTAGATGACATATAGATGACACCAATACGTCAATTAGATAGTCTTCTGTTTAATCACTGGCTCCAGATACAGTAAACAAGAAATATTGCCTTCAATTAACATCATTAGCTTCCAAGCCATTAATTATGCCTAATTATATAGCATGTTTTTTTTAACGACAGTCATGACTTGACATTAAGTCAATAAATTGTTTTGTCACTCAAGTCACTCAGATAATTTATCAGTCCTCAGTTCAAGAATGTTTTGTCAGACATATGTCCCACACTGTCAGACAAATGTCACACTATGTCAGACAAATAACATACTATGTCAGATAAATGTCACTCTATGTCAGACAAATGTCACTCTATGTCAGACAATTGTCACACTATGTGAGACAAATGTCACTCTATGTCAGACAAATGTCACATGTCAGACAAATGTCACACTACGTAAGACAAATGTCACCCTATGTCAGACAAATGTCACCCTATGTCAGACAAATGTCATGCATATGTTAGATAGGTGATGGAATGCAAGAGGACATACTGCTGCTATTTTCTGATGTCAAACTAGGGTAGCCAATGTTTTGGTTTTTGTCACATCAGACTGGCATGTCACAACATTTCATCTATTTCAAGTAGATCATTACATAGTCACATTGACAACTTATTTTTGTAAAGATTGTCTTATCAACACCCTGCCCCACCCCCCGGCAATTAACTTTTGATCTTTACAGAACAAGATAAGTACATGGTATCATCACATCTTTGTACAAGTTTAGCTACAAACATACAAGCAAGCAAACATCAGTAGGAAATTATTTACACAACATTAAAAACAATCCCCAACCAGGCATCTTCTTTTTAAAAGTCCAGAAAAATGAAAAAAAAAAAAAAAAGTCATTCATTAAAAAACTTTTTACAATCATTCTAAAAGAAAGTTATCACAATAGTAGGGGCTGGATGGTAACACAGGACACCTGGGGTCACAGGACACCTGGGGTCACAGGACAGCTGGGGTCACAGGACAGCTGGGGTCAGAGGACACCTGGGGTCACAGGACACCTGCAATCAGAGGACACCTGGGGTCACAGGACACCTGCAATCAGAGGACACTTGTGGTCACAGGACACTTGCAGCCACAGTTAGACTCATCTAGTAGGTAACACACCAAGTTTATCAGCCAGTGCCAAGTTGTACCTGTATAAACTGGTCAACTTGACAAACAGAACTTTTCTGTGTACAACTTGAGTCTGGCAAAAATCTTTTCACAATGCTAGCTCGAGTGTCCTGGTGAAGTGCCCTGGTATCCTATGGATGTGTCCTGGTATACTATGGTTGTTTCCTGGCCAGAGTATCCTATGGATGTGTCCTGGTATCCTATGGATGTGTCCTGGTATCCTATGGATGTGCCCTGGTATCCTATGGATGTGTCCTGGTATCCTATGGATGTGTCCTGGTATCCTATGGATGTGCCCTGGTATCCTATGGATGTGTCCTTGTATCCTATAGTGTGTCCTTGTTACTCCTGTCCAAAGCCTTCTGTCTCCTCTATGGCGTAGTTAAGCTTCTCCACCAGTTGCTCGTAGCTGCGGTAGGGTGGCAGATCTAGACGGTTGAAGCAGGTGTGGGACCTGGGCAGCCAGGTCTCCTTGCCAACTTTCTCAATACAAAATCTCTGGGGGCCATTGCTACCTGCTCGGATCAAACACACTAGCCTTAGATCAACAACAACAGCGGAAGTCATTAAAAAGTTATTTATTCCAAAAAAATTAAAGAAACAGCAGGTTATGGGATATGTGGGAGGAGGGAGGTAGGGGTCAGCTTAACTCTATCATGACTTACCCATGAGCTCAGCAAATGGGGTGGGGGGAGGGGAGGGAGGTGGGGGTCAGCTTAACTCTATCATGACTTACCCATGAGATCAGCAAATGGGGTGGGGGGGGGTCAGCTTAACTATCATGACTTACCCATGAGCTCAGCCAATGGGGTGGGGGAGGGAGGTGGGGGTCAGCTTAACTCTATCATGACTTACCCATGAGATCAGCAAATGGGGTGGGGGGGGGGGTCAGCTTAACTCTATCATGACTTACCCATGAGCTCAGCAAATGGGGTGGGGGGGGGGGGGGTCAGCTTATCTCTATCATGACTTACCCATGAGCTCAGCAAATGGGGTGGGGGAGGGGGGTCAGCTTAACTCTATCATGACTTACCCATGAGCTCAGCAAATCCACCCACAGGCAAACGGCAGGTGCCAGTGACAAACTGCAGTAGCCTGGTCCTTTTCTCATTGTCTATCTCTCTCACCATCTGCACAAAGAAATGACCACATGTACAAACTTGACACTTTTCACACCACCAAAACAAACTTGACACTTTTCACACCACCAAAACAAACTTGACACTTTTCACACCACCAAAACAAACTTGACACTTTTCACACCACCAAAACAAACTTGACACTTTTCACACCACCAAAACAAACTTGACACTTTTCACACCACCAAAACAAACTTGACACTTTTCACACCACCAAAACCAACTTGACACTTTTCACACCACCAAAACAAACTTGACACTTTTCACACCACCAAAACAAACTTGACACTTTTCACTCCAGTGTGACCAACAGAAAAAACTAGAGCCAACCCTCTAGAAAGATCTAGAGCCAACCCTCTAGAAAAATCTAGAGCCAACCCTCTAGAAAAATCTAGAGCCAACCCTCTAGAAAGATCTAGAGCCAACCCTCTAGAAAAATCTAGAGCCAACCCTCTAGAAAGATCTAGAGCTAACCATTTAGAAAGATCTAAAATGAACGCTCTAGAAAGATCTAGAGCCAATCCTCTAGAAAGATCTAGAACCAACCCTCTAGAAAGATCTAGAACCAACCCTTTAGAAAGATCTAGAACCAACCCTCTAGAAAGATCTAGAAACAACCACCTAGAAAGATCTAGAACCTACCCTCGAGAAAGATCTAGAACCTAACATCGAGAAAGATCTAGAACCAACCCTCTATAAAGATGTAGAGCCAACCCTCTAGAAAGATCTAGAACCAACCCTCTAGAAAGGTGTAGAGCCAACCCTCCAGAAAGATCTAGAACCAACCCTCTAAAAAGATCTAGAGCCAACCCTCCAGAAAGATCTAGAACCAACCCTCTAAAAAGATCTAGAGCCAACCCTCCAGAAAGATCTAGAACCAACCCTCTAAAAAGATCTAGAGCCAACCCTCCAGAAAGATCTAGAACCAACCCTCCAGAAAGATCTAGAGCCAACCCTCTAGAAAGATTTAGAACCAACCCTCTAGAAAGATCTAGAACCTACCTTCCAGAACCAGACCACCTGTTTACTGCTGCGCTGGTAGTGTCTGTAGATGGTTGTTCTCTCCCAGTCATCCACGTCTATCTCCTGCATGCCACACAGCATCAGCTGGGGGAGGGCATTAGGTCATGTAGGTAGGGCGTTAGGTCATGTAGGTAGGGCATTAGGTCATGTAGGTGGGGCGTTAGGTCATGTAGGTAAGGCATTAGGTCATGTAAGTGTGTGGGGAGGGCATTAGGTCATGTAGGTGTGTGGGAAGGGCATTAGGTCATGTATGTAGGGCGATAGGTCATGTAGATAGGGCATTAGGTCATGTAGGTAGGGTGTTAGGTCATGTAGGTAGGGCATTAGGTCATGTAAGTGTGTGGGGAGGGCATTAGGTCATTATGTAGGGCGATAGGTCATGTAGATAGGGCATTAGGTCATGTAGGTGTCTGGGTAGGGCATTAGGTCATGTAGGTGTGTAGGTGGGGCATTAGGTCATGTAGGTGTGTAGGTAGGGCATTAGGTCATGTATGTGTGTGGGTAGGGCATTAGGTCATGTAGGTAGGGCGATAGGTCATGTAGGTAGGGCATTAGGTCATGTATGTGTGTGGGGATAAAAATCATTTTTTAAAACCCTAATCCCTTGTACCTTACCCTAACCCTGTAACTACTGTAAGATATAATACATTAAAAAAAATGATAATATTAACGCCAAGTAAAACGGTTGAAAAGTTTAAAGACAGGATGAATTCAAATACCAGTAGATAGACTATAGCAAGACTACAGCACTTACAAGACAAACTGAGTACAGGACTAAGTGTACGAATAATAAATAAAGAAGACTGTGTTGAATGGCAGCTGTTTCCATAGAGGTCAGTTCTGGTGTCTTTTCTAAATTTTTCAAACTTTGTCAAAAATTGGTAAATAAAAATTTGGCAAGAAAAATCAGATTTCCAATAATAATTGGAAATGCCTGAATATGAGGCCATTTAAGACATACCTCAAGCTCCCTCTCATCGAAGTACTGCAGCCATTGAAGAGGAACAACCTCATTGAAGCCTTCCAGGAATGCCTTGGTCTGCTCCTCCACCCCACGCGTGAAGCGCCAGTTGGTCATAAGACTGCAAGATACAAACACAGCTGACCAATGCCTAGTACTTACTAAAGGTTCACCTACTCTGTATTACATAAAACCACAGACCTAGCCTCTACTACAAGACCTACTCACTTGAGATATTCTTCTTTGTTCTCCTCTGTGACCTTGACCTCGCTACCTCCAGGCTTAAGGTCATGCTGCTCCACTTTACCAAGGATTTCAAAGTCAGCACAGAAGAAAAGTTCCAGCCCACAGTCTTCTATGTTGTTCTCTCTGTCAACATACACATTTTTTGTCAACATACACATTTTTTGTGTCAACATACACATTTTTTGTGTCAACATACACATTTTTTGTCAACATACACATTTTTTGTGTCAACATACACATTTTTTGTGTCAACATACACATTTTTTGTGTCAACATACACATTTTTTGTGTCAACATACACATTTTTTGTGTCAACATACACATTTTTTGTGTCAACATACACATTTTTGTGTCAACATACACATTTTTTGTGTCAACATACACATTTTTTGTGTCAACATACACATTTTTTGTGTCAACACACACATTTTGTGTGTCAACATACACATTTTTTTGTGTCACTATATACATTTCCTCTATCTTCTTCTTCTTCATTCTTAATTAAGTATATGTGTCAACTGGTGATGCGCCATTGAGGCCATTGACTCCAATTTCAGGCTGCTTTTCTTTTTGGATTTGCTTCCATAGCCTTTGTCCAACCAAGAACACATTTCAAGGCAGCAGTTGTTTGATTTTGGAGTTGTCTCTCCTAGAAGAGTGGCTGTCCCCAGCTAACGAGCCTCATCTGCGTGAGGGTTTGAACTCGAGACTTTTTGGTTTAGCAACCAGGAGCTTTACTGACTCGACCATTTAATATCCAATCAGATTAACCAGTAAATGTACTGACATTAAAAGCTTCTTGTACTCTCCATGCCAGATGACATTTTTAAATCATTTTCATTTGTTTTAAATTACTGCAAAACAACATAGACATGTTTAAAAATTAAACAGCAATACAGAGGAAAAAGTCTTTGGTCTACTGTTCTGAAAATTGGCAACTAAAAACTAAAATCAGCATCAAACCTTCAGAATGAAGAAAACGCTACCACCATTTAGTTATGCTACTCTACAGTCTACATTCTCCATATTTAGGCAGTACCAGAGGTTGTGTAGGGTTCAAGTTTCTTGCCTTGCCATACAAGTCCCGACTTAAGAATACAAGTTACCTGACCTCAACACTTCTATAGCATTTAGGTTATCCTTTATTGAGAAGCTCCTCAAGCAATAGATAGCCAAGATATGTAAGCATGTACTGAGCTTGTACAGCTATGAAGTTGATGCTAGTGAGGTGGTAACATGTTTAGAGAAGCTGCTACAGTTAGACTTACTTGACCCACAAAAGTGATTGATAAAACTCAGAATCTATCGTCTCCAAATCCTTGATGGTCAGCTTTTTACTCAACATGCGCTTATAGAAAGGCAGGGTAAACCCACTGTCTATAAACTTGCCGTGGTACAGGGCCTGAAATACAAGAGTTCCACAAATTAGAGTAGGTTACCATAGCAACACAGAGTAGGTCAACCTTACCATAGCAACACAGAGTAGGTCAACCTTACCATAGCAACACAAGAGTAGGTCAACCTTACCATAGCAACACAGAGTAGGTCAACCTTACCATAGCAACACAGAGTAGGTCAACCTTACCATAGCAACACAGAGTAGGTCAACCTTACCATAGCAACACAGAGTAGGTCAACCTTACCATAGCAACACAGAGTAGGTCAACCTTACCATAGCAACACAAGAGTTCTACAGGTTAGAGTAGGTTACCATAGCAACACAGAGTAGGTCAACCTTACCATAGCAACACAAGAGTTCTACAGGTTAGAGTAGGTTACCATAGCAACACAGAGTAGGTCAACCTTACCATAGCAACACAGAGTAGGTCAACCTTACCATAGCAACACAGAGTAGGTCAACCTTACCATAGCAACACAGAGTAGGTCAACCTTACCATAGCAACACAAGAGTTCTACAGGTTAGAGTTCAGATAAAGTTGGGTGTAGATAGTTCAATAGGTCAACCTTACCATAGCAATGAACCTGCCAATGAACTTGAAGTACTGTAAATGGTCAGGGTTGATGCTGGATGCTGGGTTGATCTGCAGGCTGTAGTTGCTGTTGCTGGCATACTCAAACAGGCAGTACATTGGGTTCAAGACATCATGGGACACATGGAAAAACCACTCTCTGAAAGGGAACAAAAACTGATATGTGAAACCACTCTCTGAAAGAGGACAAAAACTGTTATATAAAACCACTCTCTGCAAGAGGAAAAAACTGATATGAGATGGATGGAAAAAGCACAGAAAAAGACCCACCTAGCTAGCCCACCATAGTCCAGACCTTCTTCCCCTTTAAAGATAATGTACAGTCTTCTCCTCAAATCAAATGGCTGGAGTCTCATGATCTGAAAAACATTTGAAACAGTGCAATCAGTGATATCTTGTACACCATGATCTGAAAAACATTTGGAACACAAGAGGACTGACCTGAGCAAAAATAAAAGACTGACCTAGGCAAAAATAAAAGACTGACCTAGGCAAAAATAAAAGACTGACCTGAGCAAAAATAAAAGACTGACCTGAGCAAAAATAAAAGACTGACCTAGGCAAAAATAAAAGACTGACCTGAGCAAAAATAAAAGACTGACCTGAGCAAAAATAAAAGACTGACCTAGGCAAAAATAAAAGACTGACCTAGGCAAAAATAAAAGACTGACCTGAGCAAAAATAAAAGACTGACCTAGGCAAAAATAAAAGACTGACCTGAGCAAAAATAAAAGACTGACCTGAGCAAAAATAAAAGACTGACCTGAGCAAAAATAAAAGACTGACTTGGGCAAAAATAAAAGACTGACTTGGGCAAAAATAAAAGACTGACCTGAGCAAAAATAAAAGACTGACCTGAGCAAAAATAAAAGACTGACCTAGGCAAAAATAAAAGACTGACCTAGGCAAAAATAAAAGACTGACCTAGGCAAAAATAAAAGACTGACCTGAGCAAAAATAAAAGACTGTCTTGGGCAAAAATAAAAGACTGACCTGAGCAAAAATAAAAGACTGACTTGGGCAAAAATAAAAGACTGACCTGAGCAAAAATAAAAGACTGACCTGAGCAAAAATAAAAGACTGACCTAGGCAAAAATAAAAGACTGACCTGAGCAAAAATAAAAGACTGACTTGGGCAAAAATAAAAGACTGACCTAGGCAAAAATAAAAGACTGACATGGGCAAAAATAAAAGACTGACCTAGGCAAAAATAAAAGACTGACCTGAGCAAAAATAAAAGACTGTCTTGGGCAAAAATAAAAGACTGACCTGAGCAAAAATAAAAGACTGACTTGGGCAAAAATAAAAGACTGACCTGAGCAAAAATAAAAGACTGACCTGAGCAAAAATAAAAGACTGACCTAGGCAAAAATAAAAGACTGACCTGAGCAAAAATAAAAGACTGACCTGGGCAAAAATAAAAGACTGACTTGGGCAAAAATAAAAGACTGACCTGGGCAAACGAATCTTCAAATAGGTTATCTCTGGAGACTGTAATCTTGACATGGCCAGGTAAAGAATTGGAGTGACACAGGTAGCGGAACTGACCAAGTTTCCATCTAAAGCTCCTCTCATACTGGATGGGCACACCGTACGCCCCTTTTGGGCTGAAACATCAGGAAATTATTGTCAAATTACTTTTTTCTGTCACCACCACCTACATTTTAAACAGCTACAGTCCCCCCACCTAACCATTCTGTGCCCCCCCCCCCCCCCCCCCCGTCCCTCACCTACCCTTTCTGTGGTTTCCCCCCCCCTTCCCACCTACCCTTTCTGTGGTCCCCCCCCTTCCCACCTACCCTTTCTGTGGTCCCCCCACCTACCCTTTCTGCGGTCCCCCCCACCTACCCTTTCTGTGGTCCGCCTCTAGGGTCCTGGAATGTTGTTGTCCTTGTATTGTGGTCCACAAAGTATCTGACCCCCTCGGCTGTGTAGCGCATCTCCCAGCCCTCAGGGAGGGGGTCTTCTTGCATAATCCTGAGACACAACAAAACATTTAGACTGTGTCCTCAGACACACAACAAAACATTTAGACTGTGTCCTCAGACACACAACAAAACATTTAGACTGTGTCCTCAGACACACAACAAAACATTTAGACTGTGTCCTGAGACAACAAAACATTTAGACTGTGTCCTGAGACACACAACAAAACATTTAGACTGTGTCTTAAATATTACATATGGCCTTAACCATTAATGACCCATTCATTCTACCAAAACACCACCCTTGAATCCCACTGTAAGGAGCATAACTCTGTATGATCAAGTGAAGACTTTCACAAAATATTTGTTTTTGTCTAAATCAAATTGAAAATTAAGATAAATACTGCTGAATGTTGAAATTAAATCTGGCTTTCCAACAGTATTAAATAGAATGGAATATTTTCGGTAGAAGTGCAGTATAAAAATAAAAAATGCCAGAGACCATCCTAAATAGTTCATTTTGGGTAGTCCACTTTATTTATTTTAGTCTAAACAACTATGCATCGAATTTAACAGTTGAATATTTTTTTGGTTATGTTTAAAATATACAATTTGTAAAATACATGCCCAGATATGTATTTAAGCATGTTTTTACTTTTAATTTTAAATCAACTAAAAATAGGACAGATGATTCTAATATTTTGGGATGGAAAGAGACTAATATTATGTACGAGCCGACCTGCGACATAGCATACGCCACTGTTTAGTTGTTTGATTTTCTTATTTTTATAGTAACTCGTAATTTGTGAATTCGACATTACCAATGCTGTGACTGAAAATATTTTGCTTTAAAACACAACCAGTAGCTAGTGAAGGACAATTATCCTCACCCTCACTTTCCACTCCTCTTCTCCCACCCCAGTGAAAGCAGCCGTCCATGACGACAGTTTACAGAAGACAATGAAAAGATCAAGCAGACCTTGTTATTACCTCCCCTTAGTTTCAAATCTTTTAAAATCTAAATTATCTGCCCCTAATAGGCATCACTGATTCGACCTGGCTCTACAATTGTAAACAGCTCACCAGACTGGTGGGGGTGGTAGCGATATGGTCTGTTGACCTTACATGTCCGACATGGTCTGTCCATGAAGAGAATTAAATATAAAGATATTTCAAAATCGCCATCTATATATATAATTTTCTTCTTGGAGACCCTAGAAAACACCAAGCTGTAAGCGCGCTCCCTACCACCCCCACCCCTACATGGTCTGGTGAGCCGTGGTTCACGCTAAATGTGTACAATCGTAGAGCCGGGGTTTAGTGATGGCTATAAGGGGCAGATAATTTAGTTTGAAACGATTTTAAACTCAGGGGAGGTAACTAAGAGAAGGCTGCTTTCCCGAGGGGGGGGGGGGGTGGTGGGTAGTGGTTGGGGAAAGGAGGGGGGGGTATCGTCCTTAACGAGCTACTGATAGTGTTTTACTGCAAATATATTCAGTGGCAGCATTGGTACTGTCGAATTCACAAATTATGAATTACTGAAAAGTAGAAAATAAAACAGCTAAATAGCGGCGTATGATAAGCCGCGGGTCAGCTTGTTGTAATTAGTAAACCGGAAAAGGATGCTGAAACTACTCAGCTTCCTGTTTAGTTAAAAATTAGGATTTGTTGGCCAAATTTTTATGAAACAAATTTTTCTACGCATATTGTAAGTGGGGGGCAGCGGGTGTCATGGGTCATTAATGGTTAAGTGAATGAGCTGAGCCCTTGAGTGTTGCAACCTGGGTCATTAATGGTTAAGTGAATGAGCTGAGCCCTGGAGTGTCGCGACCTTACCCTTGAGTCCTGGGGTCCTCCCACTGAGTCGTCCTGTTTCTGTGATTGACAAAGTAAACTCTGTTGTTGGCATCTACTCTCTTCTCTAGGGACAAATCAACATCAGCAGGTCAGGAAGTGAACATGAGCAGGTCAGGAAATGAACATCAGCAGGTCAGGAAATGAACATGAGCAGGTCAGGAAGTGAACATGAGCAGGTCAGGAAATGAACATCAGCAGGTCAGGAAGTGAGCAAAGATGGTTAGGCTCAGGATGTGAGCACAACAAAGGTCATTAAACTCAGGATATCAGCACACAAAGGTCATTAAACTCAGGATATGAGCACAACAAAGGTCATTAAACTCAGGATATCAGCACAACAAAGGTCATTAAACTCAGGATATGAGCACAACAAAGGTCATTAAACTCAGGATATGAGCACAACAAAGGTCATTCAACTCAGGATATCAGCACAACAAAGGTCATTAAACTCAGGATATGAGCACAACAAAGGTCATTAAACTCAGGATATGAGCACAACAAAGGTCATTCAACTCAGGATATCAGCACAACAAAGGTCATTAAACTCAGAAAATTAGCAGAAAAAAATAAAGATCATCAGAAAAAGGAAAAAAAAATGATTAAAAAAAATGAGCAGGAAACTGACCCCATCCATCAGGTAGTGGACCTAAAGGATCATTCTCTTGTGTGGGTGCAGCCTGCTGTGGGTAGAGGAACCTCTGACCAAACTGCTCTAACGTGCGGTTGCCCCGCCACTCCTGCCAGTTGGCGTAGTTGTTCAGTGACTCTGTGTTGGGACGCTGCCACGTGGTGGTGCGAGTGTTGTGATCCACGTAGTACACACGACCACGTGCATCTGTACGCCTCTCCCATCTGAAACACACATATTCTTATTAGAATGGTAGAAGGTAAACAATAAACAATGAGCAATACATGACAAATCTACGTGCTAGTCCCAGCATACCTACATTTACTGTTGCTCAAGTTAAAAAAAAAAGATGAATACTATTGGTCAGATTGTGGAGCCTAGGATTGCTGAGTCCATCCAGCTCTGACAGGTACCTGACTTACATTGGGAAAGCAAAAATGGCTGAGCATTGGTCAATGCCATGTTAACAGAAATTGGTGAAGTCTACATTGTATGGACTGGTGTTCAACAGGGTTATTGTACTGTATGTACAATTTTTATATGGAAATATTTTTTTTTAGTTATATATTCCGGTGCACCCGCGGTCAATCTACTATGTATAGTAGGTTTATTTCCGCAGAAGTCTAGTTAATAAGAAGATTTTGAAGATAGTGGCAGAAGTGTGACATAATTTGTTTTGTTTACGTTGTTTTCTCATTGTTCTATCACTAGTGATCCATTTTAAACAAATTTTTCTAAAGTTAAGATTTTTTTTTTTCAAAATTACGGGCAATATAATTAGTGAAACTAAATCTAATTAAAATGCCTCTGACGTTAAATCGGGCTTTATTTATAATAAAACTATTGAAAAAGAAAGCACCAGTGACTACGGTGAATTTTTTTTTGAGCATTTAAATTAATTTTTTTATAGAAAAAATATTAGAAGTAGTGTTTTGCTTGAGTTTTTCTGGAATTAGTGTTATTTTTATTAATTATTAGTAAATTCTTAAGCTATTTAACCTCATGCATAATAAACTTGGACCACTTTTGTATATATAACTTTTTATTATATTTTTTTTAACGTAAGTAGTAATCCTTAAAAAATATATGTAAAAAGTGTAGTGGTTGAAAAATGTGTCATATATGGCCCGGCCGTAGAGGGAGTAAAATAGTTTTGATGCCCAGGCAAGCCAATGGTCAAGTTACTGTAATGTACCCTTTGAATCCTTACAGTCCATCGGACAGGTGAAATAGAGTTCACCTGTTTAAGTCACCTATTCATTAAGGGTTAGCACTATGCCCAGCAGTTTTTACTTTCCCTAATGTGAGTCAGGTACCCATTAAAGCTGGATGGACTCAGGGACGTAGTACAGACTCAAGCCAGGGATCTGAACTCATGGTGTTTGCTCAACAATTCAACTACACTATCTCTTGACCTGATACTACATTGTTAATGTGGTCCCATTAAGATCTGACCCATGTCATCACCAGTAAATGGTGACACTGACCCATGTCATCACCAGTGGATGGTGACACTTCTGTGTAAACCCCACTGATGGTACAGTAGGCTGTGTGAAAACTAGAGAGAAATATTTACCCTCTAGGCTGTGTGAAAACTAGAGAGAAATATTTACCCTCTAGGCTGGGTGAAAACTAGAGAGAAATATTTACCCTCTAGGCTGTGTGAAAACTAGAGAGAAATATTTACCCTCTAGGCTGTGTGAAAACTAGAGAGAAATATTTACCCTCTAGGCTGTGTGAAAACTAGAGAGAAATATTTACCCTCTAGGCTGGGTGAAAACTAGAGAGAAATATTTACCCTCTAGGCTGTGTGAAAACTAGAGAGAAATATTTACCCTCTAGGCTGGGTGAAAACTAGTGTAGAGAGAAATATTTACCCTCTAGGCTGTGTGAAAACTAGAGAGAAATATTTACCCTCTAGGCTGGGTGAAAACTAGAGAGAAATATTTACCCTCTAGGCTGTGTGAAAACTAGTGTAGAGAAAAATATTTACCCTCTAGGCTGGGTGAAAACTAGTGTAGAGAGAAATATTTACCCTCTAGGCTGGGTGAAAACTAGAGAGAAATATTTACCCTCTAGGCTGGGTGAAAACTAGAGAGAAATATTTACCCTCTAGGCTGTGTGAAAACTAGTGTAGAGAGAAATATTTACCCTCTAGGCTGTGTGAAAACTAGAGAGAAATATTTACCCTCTAGGCTGGGTGAAAACTAGTGTAGAGAGAAATATTTACCCTCTAGGCTGGGTGAAAACTAGAGAGAAATATTTACCCTCTAGGCTGTGTGAAAACTAGTGTAGAGAGAAATATTTACCCTCTAGGCTGGGTGAAAACTAGTGTAGAGAGAAATATTTACCCTCTAGGCTGTGTGAAAACTAGTGTAGAGAGAAATATTTACCCTCTAGGCTGGGTGAAAACTAGAGAGAAATATTTACCCTCTAGGCTGGGTGAAAACTAGAGAGAAATATTTACCCTCTAGGCTGTGTGAAAACTAGTGTAGAGAGAAATATTTACCCTCTAGGCTGTGTGAAAACTAGAGAGAAATATTTACCCTCTAGGCTGGGTGAAAACTAGTGTAGAGAGAAATATTTACCCTCTAGGCTGTGTGAAAACTAGTGTAGAGAGAAATATTTACCCTCTAAGCTGGGTGAAAACTAAAGAGAAATATTTACCCTCTAGGCTGGGTGAAAACTAGAGAGAAATATTTACCCTCTAGGCTGGGTGAAAACTAGAGAGAAATATTTACCCTCTAGGCTGTGTGAAAACTAGTGTAGAGAGAAATATTTACCCTCTAGGCTGGGTGAAAACTAGAGAGAAATATTTACCCTCTAGGCTGGGTGAAAACTAGTGTAGAGAGAAATATTTACCCTCTAGGCTGTGTGAAAACTAGTGTAGAGAGAAATATTTACCCTCTAGGCTGGGTGAAAACTAGTGTAGAGAGAAATATTTACCCTCTAGACTGGGTGAAAACTAGAGAGAAATATTTACCCTCTAGGCTGGGTGAAAACTAGAGAGAAATATTTACCCTCTAGGCTGGGTGAAAACTAGAGAGAAATATTTACCCTCTAGGCTGGGTGAAAACTAGTGTAGAGAGAAATATTTACCCTCTAGGCTGTGTGAAAACTAGTGTAGAGAGAAATATTTACCCTCTAGGCTGGGTGAAAACTAGAGAGAAATATTTACCCTCTAGGCTGTGTGAAAACTAGTGTAGAGAGAAATATTTACCCTCTAGGCTGGGTGAAAACTAGAGAGAAATATTTACCCTCTAGGCTGGGTGAAAACTAGTGTAGAGAGAAATATTTACCCTCTAGGCTGTGTGAAAACTAGTGTAGAGAGAAATATTTACCCTCTAGGCTGGGTGAAAACTAGTGTAGAGAGAAATATTTACCCTCTAGGCTGGGTGAAAACTAGAGAGAAATATTTACCCTCTAGGCTGGGTGAAAACTAGAGAGAAATATTTACCCTCTAGGCTGGGTGAAAACTAGTGTAGAGAGAAATATTTACCCTCTAGGCTGTGTGAAAACTAGTGTAGAGAGAAATATTTACCCTCTAGGCTGGGTGAAAACTAGAGAGAAATATTTACCCTCTAGGCTGTGTGAAAACTAGTGTAGAGAGAAATATTTACCCTCTAGGCTGGGTGAAAACTAGAGAGAAATATTTACCCTCTAGGCTGTGTGAAAACTAGTGTAGAGAGAAATATTTACCCTCTAGGCTGGGTGAAAACTAGAGAGAAATATTTACCCTCTAGGCTGTGTGAAAACTAGTGTAGAGAGAAATATTTACCCTCTAGGCTGGGTGAAAACTAGAGAGAAATATTTACCCTCTAGGCTGGGTGAAAACTAGAGAGAAATATTTACCCTCTAGGCTGTGTGAAAACTAGTGTAGAGAGAAATATTTACCCTCTAGGCTGGGTGAAAACTAGAGAGAAATATTTACCCTCTAGGCTGGGTGAAAACTAGAGAGAAATATTTACCCTCTAGGCTGTGTGAAAACTAGAGAGAAATATTTACCCTCTAGGCTGTGTGAAAACTAGTGTAGAGAAAAATATTTACCCTCTAGGCTGGGTGAAAACTAGTGTAGAGAGAAATATTTACCCTCTAGGCTGGGTGAAAACTAGAGAGAAATATTTACCCTCTAGGCTGGGTGAAAACTAGAGAGAAATATTTACCCTCTAGGCTGGGTGAAAACTAGAGAGAAATATTTACCCTCTAGGCTGTGTGAAAACTAGTGTAGAGAGAAATATTTACCCTCTAGGCTGGGTGAAAACTAGAGAGAAATATTTACCCTCTAGGCTGTGTGAAAACTAGAGAGAAATATTTACCCTCTAGGCTGGGTGAAAACTAGAGAGAAAAATTTACCCTCTAGGCTGTGTGAAAACTAGAGAGAAATATTTACCCTCTAGGCTGTGTGAAAACTAGAGAGAAATATTTACCCTCTAGGCTGGGTGAAAACTAGAGAGAAATATTTACCCTCTAGGCTGGGTGAAAACTAGAGAGAAAAATTTACCCTCTAGGCTGGGTGAAAACTAGTGTAGAGAGAAATATTTACCCTCTAGGCTGTGTGAAAACTAGAGAGAAATATTTACCCTCTAGGCTGTGTGAAAACTCGTGTAGAGAGAAATATTTACCCTCTAGGCTGTGTGAAAACTAGTGTAGAGAGAAATATTTACCCTCTAGGCTGTGTGAAAACTAGAGAGAAATATTTACCCTCTAGGCTGTGTGAAAACTAGTGTAGAGAGAAATATTTACCCTCTAGGCTGGGTGAAAACTAGAGAGAAATATTTACCCTCTAGGCTGTGTGAAAACTAGTGTAGAGAGAAATATTTACCCTCTAGGCTGTGTGAAAACTAGAGAGAAATATTTACCCTCTAGGCTGGGTGAAAACTAGAGAGAAATATTTACCCTCTAGGCTGTGTGAAAACTAGTGTAGAGAGAAATATTTACCCTCTAGGCTGTGTGAAAACTAGTGTAGAGAGAAATATTTACCCTCTAGGCTGGGTGAAAACTAGAGAGAAATATTTACCCTCTAGGCTGTGTGAAAACTAGTGTAGAGAGAAATATTTACCCTCTAGGCTGTGTGAAAACTAGTGTAGAGAGAAATATTTACCCTCTAGGCTGTGTGAAAACTAGTGTAGAGAGAAATATTTACCCTCTAGGCTGTGTGAAAACTAGTGTAGAGAGAAATATTTACCCTCTAGGCTGTGTGAAAACTAGTGTAGAGAGAAATATTTACCCTCTAGGCTGTGTGAAAACTAGTGTAGAGAGAAATATTTACCCTCTAGGCTGTGTGAAAACTAGAGAGAAATATTTACCCTCTAGGCTGTGTGAAAACTAGTGTAGAGAGAAATATTTACCCTCTAGGCTGTGTGAAAACTAGTGTAGAGAGAAATATTTACCCTCTAGGCTGTGTGAAAACTAGTGTAGAGAGAAATATTTACCCTCTAGGCTGGGTGAAAACTAGTGTAGAGAGAAATATTTACCCTCTAGGCTGGGTGAAAACTAGAGAGAAATATTTACCCTCTAGGCTGGGTGAAAACTAGAGAGAAATATTTACCCTCTAGGCTGGGTGAAAACTAGTGTAGAGAGAAATATTTACCCTCTAGGCTGTGTGAAAACTAGTGTAGAGAGAAATATTTACCCTCTAGGCTGTGTGAAAACTAGTGTAGAGAGAAATATTTACCCTCTAGGCTGGGTGAAAACTAGTGTAGAGAGAAATATTTACCCTCTAGGCTGGGTGAAAACTAGAGAGAAATATTTACCCTCTAGGCTGGGTGAAAACTAGAGAGAAATATTTACCCTCTAGGCTGGGTGAAAACTAGAGAGAAATATTTACCCTCTAGGCTGTGTGAAAACTAGTGTAGAGAGAAATATTTACCCTCTAGGCTGGGTGAAAACTAGTGTAGAGAGAAATATTTACCCTCTAGGCTGTGTGAAAACTAGTGTAGAGAGAAATATTTACCCTCTAGGCTGGGTGAAAACTAGAGAGAAATATTTACCCTCTAGGCTGTGTGAAAACTAGAGAGAAATATTTACCCTCTAGGCTGGGTGAAAACTAGTGTAGAGAGAAATATTTACCCTCTAGGCTGTGTGAAAACTAGAGAGAAATATTTACCCTCTAGGCTGGGTGAAAACTAGTGTAGAGAGAAATATTTACCCTCTAGGCTGGGTGAAAACTAGAGAGAAATATTTACCCTCTAGGCTGGGTGAAAACTAGTGTAGAGAGAAATATTTACCCTCTAGGCTGTGTGAAAACTAGAGAGAAATATTTACCCTCTAGGCTGTGTGAAAACTAGTGTAGAGAGAAATATTTACCCTCTAGGCTGGGTGAAAACTAGTGTAGAGAGAAATATTTACCCTCTAGGCAGGGGCTGTGGTCTCTCCCAAGTGGTAGATCTAGTGTTGTGGTCAACATAATATGGCCGCCCATGCTGGTCAGTCCTCATCTCCCACCTGCAATAAAACATGTCAACTTCAGACAAAACATTTTTAGCTGACCAGCCGTAGGGTCTAAACTCAGGACATTACAAGTTCGCAGCTATCATCAGTTTTCTAGAGTTACTATTCCTGCAAGCCTGTGATTTAACCTGGTACCATGGGCTCAATATAACCCCAGCCCTATATGGACCCATTAAAACTATCATTAGTCATCTCACCTACCATTTATTTTTTCGTAAGGCTTTCCTATGTTATGCAAGTTTGATCATTTCAAAGTATGACCAGTTATTTATTGCTTAGGTTTATTTTCACTGGGGGCCATTTGACCTGGTAGTTCCATCAATGTGATGAAGGTATTGTCCCTAAACAAAAGGTGCTACAGACAACCATGATCAAATGTGCAGCTTCCATCAATGTGATGAAGGTATTGTCCCTAAACTAAAGGTGCTGCAGACAGCCATGATCAAATGTGCAGCTTTTATACTACCACAACAACAACTAATGCTTGGCTAATGAAGGTCTTTTATCAACCCATTGATAGTGCTGTCTTTAACACTGTATTTTGACTGAAAATGTGACCACCTTTAGACACTGTAAGAAACCACACAACCTCATCTAGTTCAATAAGAAAACCTAACTCCTCTGTATTGTTGAGGCACCACACAACCTCATCCAGTTCAATAAGAAAACCTAACTCCTCTGTATTGAGTGCAATCAGTTTGTGGCTATCAAGCCAGGAAGTCATCAATGACAGCACTACCAGAAGAACATACCAATGAAGGACACTTTGCCTCAAGCTATTTGAAACAACCAAAGACATCAATGACAGCACTACCAGAAGAACATACCAATGAAGGACACTTTGCCTCAAGCTATTTGAAACAACCAAAGACATCAATGACAGCACTACCAGAAGAACATACCAATGAAGGACACTTTGCCTCAAGCTATTTGAAACAACCAAAGACATCAATGACAGCACTACCAGAAGAACATACCAATGAAGGACACTTTGCCTCAAGCTATTTGAAACAACCAAAGACATCAATGACAGCACTACCAGAAGAACATACCAATGAAGGACACTTTGCCTAAAGCTATTTGAAACAACCCAAGACATCAATGACACATAGTGCAATATTTATTTGGATGGATTACACATTATCATGTGATATTCTGTCAAGAAAACAAACTTATAAAAAAATGCTGTGACCTCATGGTACCAAACAAATACACAGAGCAGAATAAGCCATTTATTACTGTAGCTTGTCCATAACAAGACAATCATGAAATAGTGAAGGCAGGATAGGATAAGGTGACAAGACAGAAGACAAGACAGAAGACAATACAGAAGACAAGACAGAAGACAAGACAGAAGACAAGACAGAAGACAAGACAGAAGACAAGACAGAAGACAAGACAGAAGACAAGACAGAAGACAAGACAGAAGACAAGACAGAAGACAAGACAGAAGACAATACAGAAGACAAGACAGAAGACAAGACAGAAGACAAGACAGAAGACAAGACAGAAGACAAGACAGAAGACAAGACAAGACAGAAGACAAGACAAGACAGAAGACAAGACAGAAGACAAGACAGAAGACAAGACAGAAGACAAGACAGAAGACAAAACAAGACAGAAGACAAAACAAGACAGAAGACAAGACAGTAGACAAGACAGAAGACAAGACAGAAGACAAGACAGAAGACAAGACAGTAGACAAGACAAAAGACAAGACAGAAGACAAGACAGAAGACAAGACAGAAGACAAGACAGAAGACAAGACAGAAGACAAGACAGAAGACATAACAAGACAGAAGACATGACAGTAGACAAGACAGAAGACAAGACAAGACAGAAGACAAGACAAGACAGAAGACAAGACAGAAGACAAGACAGAAGACAAGACAGAAGACAAGACAAGACAAGTCAGAAGACAAGACAGAAGACAAGACAGAAGACAAGACAGAAGACAAGACAGAAGACAAGACAGAAGACAAGATAGAAGACAGAAGACAAGACAGAAGACAAGACAGAAGACAAGACAGAAGACAAGACAAGACAAGACAGAAGACAAGACAAAAGACAAGACAGGACAAGACAGAAGACAAGACACAAGACAAGACAGGACAAGACAGACGACAAGACAGAAGACAAGACACAAGACAAGACAGGACAAGACATAAGACAAGACAGAAGACAAGACAGTAGACAAGACACAAGACAAGACAGGACAAGACAGAAGACAAGACACAAGACAAGACAGGACAAGACAGAAGACAAGACAGAAGACTCACCCTGCAGGCAATGGCTCATTGGACACAGTTGCTGGAGCAGCTGGGGGCGTTGTGGTGGGGGGTGCTGTGGGGCTGGGTTCTGGGTTGCCTGTTGTTGTCACTGGACCTGCAACAGACACACTGACAGTTACCTGTCACATTCAGTTACCTGTCACAGTCACAGGTACATGCCACATTCAATGCTACCAGACAGACACATTTACAATAAACATGCAGTGATGGACATGACAGGCATAGATTGACATGATAGGCAGAGATGGACATGACAGACAGAGATGGACATGACAGGTAGTGATGGACATGACAGACAGAGATGGACATGACATGGACATGACAGGTAGTGATGGACATGACAGACAGAGATGGACATGACATGGACATGACAGGTAGTGATGGACATGACATGGGCATGACAGGCAGTGATGGACATGACATGCAGTGATGGACATGACAGGTAGTGATGGACATGACATGGACATGACATGCAGTGATGGACATGACATGGACATGACAGGCAGTGATGGACATGACAGGCAGTGATGGACATGACATGCAGTGGACATGACATGGACATGACAGGCAGTGATGGACATGACATGCAGTGATGGACATGACAGAGATGGACATGACATGGACATGACAGGCAGTGATGGACATGACAGACAGAGATGGACATGACAGGCAGTGATGGACATGACAGGCAGTGATGGACATGACATGGACATGACAGGTAGTGATGGACATGACAGACAGAGATGGACATGACATGCAGTGATGGACATGACAAAAAGTAAAAAATTTCTCACCCCCTGAGGTAGGAGTAGCAGCTGGGCTTGCGCTACTTGGTGGAGGGGGTACAGGGGGTGGGGTGCGCCCGTGTGAGTTTGGTGCACCAGGTGGGCGTGGAGCTGGTCGTCTGGTACCCTCTGACCTCCCTGTGGGGGTCCTGGAGGGGGCTGAGGCCGCTGCTGCTGAACCATTGGGGATACTCAGCGATCTTGGACCTGTCAACATCAGACAAACTTTAGTCAGTCAGGCGACCTTACAAACTTTAGTCAGTCAGGAGACCTTACAAACTTTAGTCAGTCAGCAGACCTTACAAACTTTAGTCAGTCAGGAGACCTTACAAACTTTAGTCAGTCAGGAGACCTTACAAACTTTAGTCAGCCAGCAGACCTTACAAACTTTAGTCAGTCAGCAGACCTTACAAACTTTAGTCAGTCAGGAGACCTTACAAACTTTAGTCAGTCAGGAGCCTGGTATAGAGTGAATCTATTACAACAGTCTGGTACAGAATGTATTTATCAATATACTTCTCAAATTCAAAGTTTTTACAATTTATACATTTTTGTTTGTTTGTTCTGATTGATCAGAGCATCTGCACTATGTGCAGCAGAATCTAAACACGTATTCATGTAGAAAAATGTTTCATTTTAAAAAATTTGTTAAACTCAAAAAAAAAATATTTAAGATTTTAATTAAATTAATGATATATTCATAAATCTTTTGTTAGCTCTAGCTGCAATGAAGTCTGTGTGTTATTTTTATTAGGTTCCAACACTATTATCAATTTTCAATAGGATACGCTTTACAATTAGATCTAGAAGCCAAACAACATTAATCAGTTAAAAACAAAAACGTATAAAAATACAATAATTGAATTTTCATATTAGTCTTGGTTTCTTAGTTTTTCATAATTATCCAAAGGATAATGGGTAGTCTAGTATTCTACTAAAAGTCACCATTGTTTACAAGTTATTATAATTTTTTGTTGTTACTTTGTTGTGAGATCAGAACATCTGAACTATGTGTAGAACTTCAAAATGCGTAATTGTGTCGAGAAAAGAATTCTTTTTTTCATAACATGTCTATATACACACATTACAATGATAAATTTGTGCACTATCTGTATGTAAAAACAAACATATAATTATGTAAAAGAAGATTTTTGAGTACCTTGCCTCAACTCTAATTTGGTTTAGTCACATTAGTTGCAGATTGAAAAGTTTTAAGCATTAAAATGCATTATAATCTTTTAGCTATAGCTTTAATGATACATTTATTATTAATTTCTATTAGATTCTAACAATATTATTAATTTTCAGTAGGATGTACTTGACATCTCTTTGAATTTGAGGATATAATTGTGGTTAAATAGCTGCTGCCAAGTGGGCAGGTGGGCGACAACACACTGACCATTTCTTTGTTCTTTAGGGAACAGTCTCATGTTGACGTCCATACCATCCAAGGTGAAGGTCAGCTCTCCAACCTTGTTTTTTCCTTCAGCTTTCAGGTCAACAGTCTTGGTGAAATCTTTCACTAACCAATTAAAGAGGAAAAAAAAATAATTTGGAAACACTCCATGGGTCAATTACATGTGAGAAAAATGTAGGCTTACATCATTAGGTAGAGAAATAAAGGACTTAAATAATAACCAGTGGAGAAATATTTGTCTTAATTAACAGGTGTAGACAAATGGAGTAATAGTTGGCTTAATTAACAGGTGAACAACATTAGATGAAACTGACATTAAATTGACCAACATTAGATGAAACTGACATTAAATTGACCAACATTAGATGAAACTGACATTAAATTGACCAACATTAGATGAAACTGACATTAAATTGACCAACATTAGATGAAACTGACATTAAATTGACCAACATTAGATGAAACTGACATTAAATTGACCAACATTAGATGAAACTGACATTAAATTGACCAACATTAGATGAAACTGACATTAAATTGACCAACATTAGATGAAACTGACATTAAATTGACCAACATTAGATGAAACTGACATTAAATTGACCAACATTAGATGAAACTGACATTAAATTGACCAACATTAGATGAAACTGACATTAAATTGACCAACATTAGATGAAACTGACATTAAATTGACCAATCTATATACTACTAAAAGTCAAGTTTGTTTACATGTTTGAATATTTATTTTTTTGTTTTTTTGTTTGTTTGTTTGTTTGCCTGATCAAGTATCCTGATATGTTCTCCTCTATCTGGAGAGCTGTAAAATAGTATGTAGGTAGAGAATAATTTTTTAATGCAGACAGACTGTTAATCACAAATTTATTTAAAGACGTTAATTAATTTATTGATTTATTCATTGTTAAATTAACCGTAGTTTTTAAAAAATGTTAATACTTTGAATAAACTTTGTGGGGATAGTGACGTCCCTTGATAGTGACGTCAGAGTTTTTGTTGACTCTTTAGTACAATAAAATGGCGGCGTCTATCGAAGAAAATTGTGTTCCCATTCCAAAGTTTAACGCGTTCTAAATCTAATTTTCTGTCGGTCATAACTTTAACAATACGTCCGTTTGCTGTATTTATTACGTTCCAACACTTATATCAATTTTCAACTGTCTTTTTTCATTTAGTTTTACAATAAATTTCTCTAGATCTAAAGATCAGCTGTCGAAGGAAATTTATGAATCTAGCCTAGATCTAGATCACTAAACTCAATGTAAATTCTAAATCTAGACTTAATGTAAATTCTACATCTAGAATCTATTTCAGGCCTTAATACATCTAGAATCTATTTCAGGCCTAAATTATTTTATATAAATCTTTGTTTGGCTAATTTAAGATAAAATTTAATTTGAAAGTTACTACTTCTAGACTAGACGCTCGAAATCAAGTTGCATCAAAGTATAGTATAAAAATTCATTTGTGACGTCACGAGTAAATAGCTAAGTTTGTAGCGTAGTTCGCTCTCATGCGAGTGGTACAGGTTCTAGACCAATATGTCAATGATATTTTTTTTTTCAATTTTTTTTTTTAGATGTTAATGATAAAGTTGCCTATCTGAACTTGGCAGGATACAGGGCAGGTGAAGTAGAGTTCATCTGTTTCTTTGTCCTAACCATATGAAAGGATAGTGTGGTCAGAGACATGCTCGGCTGGAATCGTTTTTTAAACGATAAAAACATGTTGTCTGAGACTTGGCGGGACACTGGGCAGGTGAAGTAGAGTTGAGTAGGTCACATGTGACGTCAGTATATGAAGGGATAGTCCGAAATCGGTGTTTTCGGTGTTTTTAAAAGATAAGAAACATATTTTTGAATGTGGGCTCTGTTTTTGTGACGATAAGTGACACTGCAGTAGCGTAGCGAGGAGGTGGGGGGGGGGGGGGGGGGGGGGGGTGGGGGCGGGGGGGGGGGGGGGGGGGGGGGGGGGAGGCGGGGGGGGGGGGGGGGAAGGGGAGGCGGGGGGGGGGAGGGGAGGGGCGGGGGGACGTATGTTGGGGCGCCAAAATGGTTTGGAAAAATAAATTGAAAGGTTGAGGGGGGTTCAAATCGAAAGTTTGAGTGGGGGGGGGGGGGGGGAGGGGATGCACATCAAAAGTTTGAGGGGGGGGGGGTTGAAAATCGAAATCTTGGGGGGGGGGGGGTTAAAATCGAAAAGTTTGTCCCCGGGCGCCGGGAAGGCTCGCTATGCCTCTGAGTGACAGACGTGATGTTTTTTGATGGATGACCCCCGAAACCCACAGTTATCCAAGGGATGACGGGTATTCTAGTATTAGATGAAACTGACATTAAATTGACCAACATTAGATGAAACTGACATTAAATTGACCAACATTAGATGAAACTGACATTTTCCATTTTCCTTCTCCAGGAGAGTGTGTAGATCAACAAGAGCCCGGCCCAGGACTGTGTCTGTTCTTATACTGTTGGAGCTCAGAACCTTCAACTCAATTTTGGAATATGGGGTCACCAATCTGTAGTAACAGTAGAGTATATAAGGAAACATCACCTGCATGGACACACATCCTCATGGACACACACCATCCTCATGGACACACACCATCCTCATGGACACACACCATCCTCATGGACACACACCATCCTCATTGAAATCCCACATTCAACCATGAACCCTTACACGGTGAACCATGAACCCTTACACAGTGAACCATAAACCCTTACACAGTGAACCATGAACCCTTACACAGTGAATCATGGACCCTTACACAGTGAACCATGAACCCTTACACAGTGAACCATGAACCCTTACACAGTGAACCATGAACTCTTACACAGTGAACCATGAACCCTTACACATTCAACCATGAACCCTTACACATTCAACCATGAACCCTTACACAGTGAACCATGAACCCTTACACAGTGAACCATGAACCCTTACACAGTGAACCATGAACCCTTACATATTCAACCATGAACCCTTACACATTCAACCATGAACCCTTACACAGTGACCCATGAACCCTTACACAGTGACCCATGAACCCTTACACAGTGAACCATGAACCCTTACACATTCAACCATGAACCCTTACACATTCAACCATGAACCCTTACACAGTGAACCATGAACCCTTACACAGTGAACCATGAACCCTTACACAGTGAACCATGAACCCTTACACAGTGAACCATGAACCCTTACACAGTGAACCATGAACCCTTACACAGTGAACCATGAACCCTTACACATTCAACCATGAACCCTTACACATTCAACCATGAACCCTTACACAGTGAACCATGAACCCTTACACAGTGAACCATGAACCCTTACACAGTGAACCATGAACCCTTACACAGTGAACCATGAACCCTTACACATTCAACCATGAACCCTTACACAGTGAACCATGAACCCTTACACATTCAACCATGAACCCTTACACGGTGAACCATGAACCCTTACACAGTGAACCATGAACCCTTACACAGTGAACCATGAACCCTTACACATTCAACCATGAACCCTTACACAGTGAACCATGAACCCTTACACATTCAACCATGAACCCTTACACAGTGAACCATGAACCCTTACACAGTGAACCATGTACCCTTACACATTCAACCATGAACCCTTACACAGTGAACCATGAACCCTTACGCAGTGAACCATGAACCCTTACACAGTGAACCATGAACCCTTACACAGTGAACCATGAACCCTTACACAGTGAACCATGAACCCTTACACAGTGAACCATGAACCCTTACACAGTGAACTGGTCATCCCACTTGGGTGTGGTGGTCTTGCGGCACACATCAGTTTTCCTGGCAGATCCTCCATCAATGCTGAGCTCAAGGTATGGGTCAGGTTTGGATGAGAACAATCCTCCAGCCGTGTTCAGCTTGGCAGACGACACTAAAACACAATCAAGAATTCATTAATTAACAATCTTCAGCTATGTTGACACTAAAACACAATCAAGAATTCATTAATTAAAAATCTTCAGCTAAGTTGACACTAAAACACAATCAAGAATTCATTAATTAAAAATCTTCAGCTAAGTTGACACTAAAACACAATCAAGAATTCATTAATTAACAATCTTCAGCTAAGTTGACACTAAAACACAATCAAGAATTCATTAATTAAAAATCTTCAGCTAAGTTGACACTAAAACACAATCAACACTTCATATCTATTTGAGATTGGCTGTGGTGTCATTTTTATTTTCCCCCATACAAGCCGTACCAAACACGTACTAGGGTCATGGTGAGGTCACAAGAGCCACCAAGTAGGGTCAGTTGGGTCAGGTTAGTCACCTTTGTAATGATAGCAATATTCATTTGAGGTTGTGAAATAAAATAGCAGCAGAGAGAAATGGTAGATTTGGGTAGCTAAAAAAACTGGGTGAGTTAAAATACCAGTAGATATATTTGGTTACAGCTAGACTAACATGCAGGCCAGATTAACGGTAAAGAAATCAAGCTCGGGAGATGCATGTTTCACCTTAAGACAGGCAACAGTTTAGATTACTTTTTTCAATATCTTGGATAAATATTGAACTGAAAATAGCAGCGGAAAATCTGGATTAAAAATGTGCGGTCTGAAGAAAATTGGAAATCTGCAAAAATTGCAAATCTTGAGCTACATTTCATCTAAATCTATCTATCTGAGTCAAATTGCTTTTGAAACGGACTAGTATGGATTTCAGCTAAAATCTGAAAAGTCACATCCCTGATAGACTGACCTTTGATTGTAATTTGTGAGTACTGAGATGTTGGGGGTGAGGGCGCAGATGCTCCTGATGCTTCGCCCATGGCTCTCTGATCTGCTGCGTGCTAACAATACAACATCACTAGGACCTGTGGATCAGACAATAAAATGTCTGTTAGGGTAGTGATACTACAAGCATAAGTATGGCTTAATACAGCATGACAATTTGTTTAAAAATACAAATATATATATATATATAGAACTATAAAAAAAATATATATAGGGCCTATATAAATAAATAAATAAATAAATATATATATATATATATATATATATATATATATATATATATAATAAATAAATAAATATAAATAAATAAATAAATAATAAATAAATAAATAAATAAATAAATAAATCTTCTTCTTCTTCTTCGTTCTTAATTTTTTTAGTGTTGGGAGGGATCGAGCCTTATCTGCCAGAGGGTTTGAACTCGAGACTTTTTTTGAATTTATCAACCATGAGCTTTTGCCGACTCGACCATGCTTCCATCACAATTAAGGATTACGTGTCAACTGGTTATGCGCCATTGAGGCCATTGACTCCGATTTCAGCCTGCTTTTCTTTTTGGATTTGCTTCCATAGCCTTTGTCCAACCAAGAACAAACTACAAGGCAGCAGTTGTTTGATTTTGGAGTTGTCTCTCCCAGAAGAGTGGCTGTCCCCAGCTAACGAGCCTCATCTGCCCGAGGGTTCGAACTCGAGACTTTTTCGGTTTAGCAACCATGAGCTTTACCGACTCGACCACGCCGACCCTAATAAATAAATAAATAAATAAATATATATATATATATAGAGAGAGATAGATAGATAGATAGATAGATAGATAGATAGATAGATAGATAGATAGATAGATAGATAGATGCATTTGAGGTAAAAGTAATTTGTAATGGGTAGTGACTTATGTGCTGATTTAGCATCATATACCCTGCGCTGCTGGGTGTCTGGGAATCAATAAAATTTTCAATGAAATGCCTGTATGTAAATATTATCCTTGTTCCTAATTCTTCCCGGGTGCATTACTAATACTATGCTCATTATTTACATAAAGGACTGTTGCATATTTACATTGATAGCTATTTCGTTCACTCTTAAGATGTGAACATATTATATACAGGATTTTTACAAAGAATGAACTCCATTTCTAAAATAAAGAATATATTAAGTAGATTTTTAGATACCGCTTCTGAGTAAAATTAAATGAAATCATAATGCCATGCGTTAGCCTAATTAATTTTTTTTTAAATTAAAAAAGAAAATAATGTATCTGAAAATCTGGATTCTAGATTTTAGTAGATCTAGATTTAGTAAATAGACAACTTCTCCAGAATACGTGGAATCTAGAAACCTACTAATTAATAAGACTTAGGATATTAATCGTCTATAATTTACTATAATAAGCTCTATCTACATTATTAGATCTAAAATGCTCGCTGGTAGTAGATAGTGTCTAAACTGGAGAAAAAATTATTTTCATTTTTTCAACATGCTTGAATAAAGTATTAATCTACATATATAATTCTCTTCATAGGGCCATACAAGACACCATGCAGCTTAGCCGTTCCTACCCCGCTTTCTTGGTATATTGCTACCACCCTCACCCCCACCTGTCAGGTGAGCTATGGTTCACCCCAAATGTTTACAATAGTAGAGTCGGTTGGAATTAGTGACGATTTGAAACTAAGGGGAGATAATAAGTTCTGCTTGATATTTTTATTGACTTCTGTAAACGGCTGCTTTACTGGGCGGGGTGGGGTAGTGTCGAATTCACAAATTATGAATTGTTGATAAATAAAAAATAAAACAACTAAATAGCTGCGTATGCTACGTCGCAGGTCAGCTCGTTCCATTTATTTGAAAAGTATCAGTATCAGTTTTGAAAAAAAATCATTTTGTGAGTGCAAATTGACCCCATGCTGTTTTTTGGTTGCAATATTATGTCAAAGTATAGAGGAAACATCTTAATGTCACGTTAAGGGTTAATTCTAGCTCATCATTTGATATATAAATTGAAATAATTTCTTGTGTATTTAACTAAAATATTTCTTGGTGCCATGAAAACAGAGAGCATGTTGTTCTGCTTAATTAAATGTGCCGAAAACAAAATTTTCTACTAATTCTTGAATTGTGTCATTTTCCCCTTTATTACTCTGAAAAATAAAAATGAAATTTTTTTGCTTTAGCAAGATAATTAGCCTATACATGACTGAAATATATTAGACAAATATTTGCCTAATTTAGCTACATACTTTGGAGCAACTTTACCTAGATTCTATTTAACGCACTTCTATTGGTTATCTTAGAAACAATTGGTTCTTTAAAAGTGGCACTTTTTTTTTAAAAACATATAGCATAGGCTTAACGTTTTCAAATGACTACTCGGAAAAAGATTTTATGTAGAAAATACGAAACTCAATAGTTCTGCGCATAGTGACCTTAAATTAATAGCTGTGCTTTGGTTAGAGCTAGGGTTAGGCATATGGTTATGCGGTTTGTTTGTAAACACATGCATGTGCAGTACCATAAAAAAAATCGCTGCGAATGAAGGCGGTAGTTTCTCTCCATTGCTCATGAGTATCTTTTTCCAGCTAGAATCTGCCTAATGTTTTTAGAGCTAAGAAGATAAAGAGATTAAACTACACAGTCTAGACTCTAGACTATTCTACTACTAGATCTAGATAGAGGTCGTTCATAAATGATGTCACACTCATAGGGGGGAGGGGTTCCGTAATTTTGTGACGGTGTGTCATGATAGGGAGGGGGTTCAAATGGTGCGATGTCACTTTTGCATCATAAAAAAGCGATGTTAGAAAACGAATTTTAGACATTATTTCCCGTTTTAGAAAACTGTTTTGATAAATTACAATAGGAATTGATTAAAATACTCTATTTTGACAGAGTTCAGACAAGATTTTGGAAAAATATAGATATTTTAAGAAAAGTGCAACTGCAATTTTGAGGGGGGGGGGGGGGGTTGTAGGCTGAGGTGTGACATCATTTTAAGGGGTGGGGGTCTGGCTTATTGTGACAATGTGTGATGGAGGGGAGGGAAGATAAAAATCGTCAAAAAAGCCCCGTTTAGGCTAACTTTAATCCATTTATTGATGACCCCCTAGTAGCTCGAGTCTGACATGATATAGATCTAGTAACAGTTAGGCCTACTTCTTATTTTTTATTTTACTATAGGTAGTAGATTTAGCTAGAATCTCATTCTCATCTATCCTGGTCTAGATTTAAATTTAGGCCTAGATCTCATTCTAATTCACTAATGTGAATAATTCTAATTTCGGTAATCTATCGTTTTGGGTACGTAAAATCGCCCGCGGCTATTTATGTACGAAAACGTTACCTCGTTGTCAAGGCTTTAATAGAGGTATATTGTCATACTTTTGTGTCAAATATTATAGATAAATGAATAATAAACCTAAATCAATGGCTAAATATATCGATATAGGCCAGAAATTAACTTTAAACAGCAGTGTCTGAGAGCAAGATTTGCTATATAAATAGCAGCCATTTGTAAAATAGAGTGGCTTCCCCCTGAATCTGGCGCTAAAAGCTTATGAAAATAAAACTTAGACAAGATGGCTGCTATAGTAAATGAGCATGGTTGCATCTGTTGGAAACATCGCTAGTCTTCATTTATTACGGAAAAGTTTTAATTCAATTGTTTAAAAACAGGTACATAAATGAATCAAGGACACATTTTTGAATTTTTAAAAACATAAATCCTCCTCAAAATGTGAAATAATTATTAAAATTTAAGGAGTCACCTGTTTTTCACATTACAAATCGCGGGCGATTTTACGTACCCAAAACGATAGATTACCCTAATTTCTAACACTAGAATCACTAGAGTAGTCTAGCTAGACTAGATCTAGTCTGAGAGTACTGAGACTGTACTACTAGTCTAGGACTAGGACTAGGGCCTACTACTGCTACTAGATCTATGTGAGTCTAGATTATTCTAGACCTAGATTGAGATTCTATTTCTAGAGATCTAGATAATCTAGATCTAGTATTCTACATCTGAGACAGAGTTAAACTTTGTGACTTAGGGTTTAGTTTAGAAAGAGAAATGTCAAAATCGTGATGAATTCATCGAGTTGTAGAATCTAGAAAATAAATTACTAGACTTAGAGAGCTAGATCTCACCTTTGAAAACACTACAGCTGATCACGAGGTCCAATACAGAAATATCTAACAATAGACTTCTACTAAGAGTATATTAATTATGTCTGTAATAAGTCTGTAACCTGTATGTTGATACTTGTAATTTGTCAACAAACTAGTCAAAAATTCTACAGACGTCCACCATTTCTGATCATGTGACCTGAGTGACGTAACACAGTGGGTCACGACTGTGCGGTATAGGCCTACATATCAGTGAAGTAAAGATTTGCATTTAAAATGTTTATAAATAGATCGTAGCTAAATATTAAACGTACAAACGCATTGATTATGGTGGTGAAAATCAATCTAGATCTAGAACCACAAGGAACTTTACTGGATAAATAAATAAATGGGACCTTCTTTTAAACTTTTTTTGGCTGTATACAACTTACCGACAAAAGCCGTACAAATTCAGTAATGTATAACAATATATTTACTAGCCGTCGGTACCCGACATATAATTATGTGAATTATAGTGAATTATAGGCCTATTTATTTTTAATGTTTAACTTGTTTATATATATATATATATATATATATATATATATATATATATATATATATATATATATATATATATATATATATATACATGGAACTATTGTAAATTTTTAAAAATTAAAAAAACAAGTTAATAAAAAGTCTAGTGACAGTTTAAGCGCAATTTCCTTATGTTATCTGTAACAATTTTTAATTTTTTGTGACCGAACGAAAGGATATTTTTTTTGCGCTAAAACCTACACGATGCTCAGTTTAAATTTAAAATATCATCCTAGGCCTACACGATGCTCAGTTTAAAAATTCTTAATTAATTTTTTGTGACCGAACGAAAGGATATTTTTGAAAACTTTCTTCGGCAATATTGTTCTAAATTATGGCAGGAATCGATTGGTAAATGTTTCAAGTCGCTAAGTGGTCTGGTTGCCGAGATATGGGCCAAAAACTGCATTTTTTTTTGAGTTTTTTTTTTTTGGCTTTTCCTGGAAATCCAGGAAGGAATTCCGGGAATTTTTTTGGCCCACAATCATCCTCGGAACTTGCTTAACATATTTGCTTTTGGAACTAGTCCTCGATATTGCTTCGTTGAGGAGGAGATACGACTCAAAGCTGCGCACATCCATCCATCCATCCATCAAGAAATGACGAGTTAATAATCGCAATTCCTGTAAGGAAATTGCGCTAAAAAGTACTGAAAAAAATGCATGAATTGATAAAGTGCAATATGGTAGGTAAAACACGGATATTTTAAATACTGCCTTTTTTTAAATTTTATACACTGAACGTACTGTTTCCTAATTATTAATCTAATTTTCCGTTTGCGGACAAGTTGGGGTTTTTATAGTCATTCATTGAATCAGGCACGTCCGCTGGCGCCTGGACAGGGTGCGATTTGGCGCCATCGGGTAAACTGTGATCACTATGCGTTAATGTGTGCATTTAAGTTGTGTTTATGTTATGAGTGTTGTGTTTGTTTTTTTCGTTGTTTTTTTTTTGCCTTTGTGTTTGCATTGTGTTGATGTTTTCATTTGTGTTTTTATTAGCGTTGTTTTTTTCTTTTGTGTTTGTGTTGTGTTTGTGTTTAGTTTTGTTCTGTTTCCAAGTTGGTACATTTAAAAAAGATTTACCGTGGCGGAGCACGGGTATGCAGCTAGTATATATATATATATATATATATATATATATATATATATATATATATATATATATATATATATATATATATATATATATATATATATACTAGCTGTATGTCATTCCTTCGCTATGAAGTAAAATAAATTGAAAGTAGTACTCTGAAGAAATAAGAAAAAACACAATATAAGCCGACAAAACAATACAATTTATCACTCTAAATAAAACAAAAACAAAATATACACACAATACATCCAAAAACAATTAACCCAACACAATCTGTTTTGTAATCCTTGAAGAAAAAAACAATTGGACATAATGATTCCTAGAATATTAATTAAGACAAGTTAACTTCATTCGCCACTGTCTGGCCACTTTAGGTGAATTATCCTACCCAGCGTACACCTAGGTGTGACATTAATGTCGCTCTACACAATTGTGGTGTGGAGAAGGAGGGGGGGGGGGGGGGGGCAGGTGATAACCAACTCAGATAACCAACTCAGAGTGAACATAGCATCATTTTTTTTAAAAGACTGTTCTAAACATACATATAAAATGATACATATATACTGATTAAAAAATTTAAATAAGTAACAGTGGTATTATGACAGTAACATTTTTTACTGAGGGATCCGTGGTGGGGGGGGGGGGGGGGGGGTTAAGCATGGGTCTCTTCCCAAATATTAGTTAAGGTATCCAATACACACTAAAGTGACCCACGCTTTTCTTTATAGTAATTTAAATAGTAGTGTCTAATATTTAGGAAGAGACCCACGCTTTTCTTTTTAGTTATTTAAATAGTGCATTATTACCTAAAAGCTTGTTATTAAAACGTTTTTTTTTTATGAATTTTTTATATATTAGGATTATTTACTAGACGTCCCGGCCAGGCCCTGCACTGGCCTCTGTGAAAAACCTATCTGTAAAGGACCATGACTTGTGTGTATAGTAATCAGCATATACCTGGCATTGTCCGATCTGGGAAATATAGTACTTTTCGAATTAACCCTAACCCTAACCACAACCATCCAAAACCAAAACACAAAAAACGCTAACATAACACAAACGCTAACACAAATACAAATACAAACGAAAACATAAACACAAACTCAACCAAAAACACAAACACAAAGAAAACATAAACACAGACGCAAAAGAAAACAAACCCAAATCTAAAAGCAAACACAAAACCAACCACTAACGCAAACCTAAAAACAAAGAAAACACATACGCAAACAAAAAAGCAAAAAACAAACGCAAATACTAATAGAAACACGAACGCAAACCTAAACTAAAAAAATAGCTTTAAGTAATATAAATCATCGCAAACATAAACACAGACTTAAATGCAAACATAAACGCAAAGTGCTCACAGTCTAGCCCGGGGCGCCAAATCACACCATGCTGGGGCGCCGGCGGTAACCGCTTGATTCAACTTAGTAAACGACTATAGTACCCCAACTTACTCACAATCTTTTGCATTCACTTAAAAGAACGTAGGCGCCATAGCGAACACGGGAACGCCCATGGTACCGAATAGCATGCTGTCGGGGCGCCCGGATTCAATTCAGTTAAAGAAAATAATAAAAATTGTGTTTTACTTACGACACTTACGACATTGCACTTGATCAATCCACGCTAATTATGTAATATTTTTCCCCAACACCAAAACATGTAATAAAATGTATCCCCCCCCCCCCCCCGATGTAATGGTTTTTTAAAGGGAAGTAATGGTGTTGAGTACCGTTACAGTTAGGTTGATAAAATTTCATATAAAGGTATTATATCAAATTTATAGATATGTTTAAACTTTTTAGCGATTTCCGATAACCGGAAGTGGAACTTATTCTACTTTTTTTAAAAATCCTTTAACTTGACAGAGGCGTAGCTATCTTTTCCGGCGCACGGGGCGGACTATCAATTGTGCACCCTCTGCCTGTGGAAATGCCCCCCCCCCACACACACTGCTGGAAAGGTTTGTGGCGCTGCTATACCGCAACATTTGAAAGTGGGACATGGAACCACATATTTGCTTTGTTGGTTTCACACAGTAAATAATCACATGGAACCACATATTTGCTTTGTAAATAATCACATGGGGGGGGGGGGTACTTAGGGGTCGTTATAACATTGGGGGATGGAGGGGAGTATGTGGGGAATCTTGTAAGTCATCATATACTGGCAGCATGTTGAACGTCTGTGTCGCTGAGGCGAGAGATCAACCACACATCCACATGTACACACATCCACATGAACACACATCCACATGTACACACAGCCACATGTACAAACATCCACATGAACACATAGCCACATGTACACACAGCCACATGTACACACAGCCACCTGTACACATAGCCACATGAACACACATCCACATGTACATCTAGCCACATGAACATACATCCACATGAACACACATCCACATGTACACATAGCCACATGAACACATATCCACATGTACACACATCCACATGTACACACATCCACATGTACACAACATCCACATGTACACATAGCCACATGAACACACATCCACATGTACACACATCCACATGTACACACAGCCACATGTACACATAGCCACATGAACACACATCCACATGTACACACATCCACATGTACAAACATCCACATGTACACACATCCACATGTACACACATCCACATGTACAAACATCCACATGTACACACATCCACATGTACACACATCCACATGTACACATAGCCACATGAACACACATCCACATGAACACACATCCACATGTACACATAGCCACATGTACACATAGCCACATGTACACACAGCCACATGAACACACATCCACATGTACACATAGCCACATGTACACATAGCCACATGTACACATAGCCACATGTACACATAGCCACATGTACACACAGCCACATGTACACACATCCACATGTACACACATCCACATGTACACACATCCACATGTACACACATCCACATGAACACACATCCACATGTACACACAGCTACATGTACACACAGCCACATGTACAAACAGCCACATGTACACACATCCACACTTGTTACTTATCTGTAACTTGTTGATACGATTTTTGGTATTAGATCAACTATTTATAGCTGACCTACTTTTAAAATGTTGTTGCGCTGGTTAGAACCTGATTGACGTCAGCTGATATGGACCAACCCGTGTCATCTCGCGGGTTGTGTCTAGTAAACGTGTCATCTCGCGGGTTGTGTCTTATAGTGGTTGTCTAGTCAACCCGTGTCATATCGCAGGTTGTGTCAAGTCAACCCGTGTCATCTGGCGGGTTGTGTCTTAAAGTGGTTGTCAAGTCAACCCGTGTCATCTCGCGGGTTGTGTCAAGTCAACCCTTGTCATCTGGCGGGTTGTGTCTTAAAGTGGTTGTCAAGTCAACCCGTGTCATCTCGCGGGTTGTGTCTAGTCAACCTGTGTCATCTGGCGGGTTGTGTCTTAAAGTGGTTGTCAAGTCAACCCGTGTCATCTCGCGGGTTGTGTCTAGTCAACGTGTCATCGGGCGGGTTGTGTCTTAAAGTGGTTGTCTAGTCAACCCGTGTGATCTCGCGGGTTGTCCCGGCAAAAGTTGTAAGTTGGTATGTCCAGGTTAATAAGCTTTTCTTAATTAGACGACATAAGCATTGCATTATAATGTTGCCCCTTGATTAGACGACATAAGCATTGCATTATAATGTTGCCCCTTGATTAGACGACATAAGCATTGCATTATAATGTTGCCCCTTGATTAGACGACATAAGCATTGCATTATAATGTTGCCCCTTGATTAGACGACATAAGCATTACATTATAATGTTGCCCCTTGATTAGACGACATAAGCATTGCATTATAATGTTGCCCCTTGATTAGACGACATAAGCATTGCATTATAATGTTGCCCCTTGATTAGACGACATAAGCATTGCATTATAATGTTGCCCCTTGATTAGACGACATAAGCATTGCATTATAATGTTGCCCCTTGATTAGACGACATAAGCATTGCATTATAATGTTGCCCCTTGATTAGACGACATAAGCATTGCATTATAATGTTGCCCCTTGATTAGACGACATAAGCATTGCATTATAATGTTGCCCCTTGATTAGACGACATAAGCATTGCATTATAATGTTGCCCCTTGATTAGACGACATAAGCATTGCATTATAATGTTGCCCCTTGATTAGACGACATAAGCATTGCATTATAATCTTGCCCCTTGATTAGACGACATAAGCATTGCATTATAATGTTGCCCCTTGATTAGACGACATAAGCATTGCATTATAATGTTGCCCCTTGATTAGACGACATAAGCATTGCATTATAATGTTGCCCCTTGATTAGACGACATAAGCATTGCATTATAATGTTGCCCCTTGATTAGACGACAAAAACATTGCATTATAATCTTGCCCCTTGATTAGACGACATAAGCATTGCATTATAATGTTGCCCCTTGATTAGACGACATAAGCATTGCATTATAATGTTGCCCCTTGATTAGACGACATAAGCATTGCATTATAATGTTGCCCCTTGATTAGACGACATAAGCATTGCATTATAATGTTGCCCCTTGATTAGACGACATAAGCATTGCATTATAATGTTGCCCCTTGATTAGACGACATAAGCATTGCATTATAATGTTGCCCCTTGATTAGACGACATAAGCATTGCATTATAATCTTGCCCCTTGATTAGACGACATAAGCATTGCATTATAATGTTGCCCCTTGATTAGACGACATAAGCATTGCATTATAATGTTGCCCCTTGATTAGACGACATAAGCATTGCATTATAATGTTGCCCCTTGATTAGACGACATAAGCATTGCATTATAATGTTGCCCCTTGATTAGACGACATAAGCATTGCATTATAATCTTGCCCCTTGATTAGACGACATAATGTCTGCCCTAATATCTGCCTCTAATGTCTGCCCTAGTGTCCGCCCGAATGTCTGCCGTTGTGTCTGCCATTGTGTCTGCCCTTGTCTCTGCCCTTGTGTCTGCCTGAATGTCTGCCCTAATGTCTGCCCCTAATGTCTGCCCGAATGTCTGCCCGAATGTCTGCCCGAATGTCTGCCCTAATATCTGCCCTAATATCTGCCCCTAATATCTGTCCCTAATGTCTGCCCGAATGTCTGCCCGAATGTCTGCCCTAATATCTGCCCCTAATATCTGTCCCTAATGTCTGCCCGAATGTCTGCCCCTAATGTCTGCCCCTAATGTCTGCCTCTAATGTCTGCCCTAATGTCTGCCCTAATGTCTGCCCTAATGTCTGCACTAATGTCTGTCCTAATGTCTGCCCCTAATGTCTGCCCGAATGTCTGCCCTAATATCTGCAACTAATGTCTGCCATTGTGTCTGCCCTTGTCTCTGCCCTTGTCTCTGCCCTTGTGTCTGCCTGAATGTCTGCCCTAATGTCTGCCCCTAATGTCTGCCTTAATGTCTGCCCGAATGTCTGCCCGAATGTCTGCCCGAATGTCTGCCCTAATATCTGCCCCTAATATCTGCCCCTAATGTCTGCCCTAATATCTGCCCCTAATGTCTGCCCCTAATGTCTGCCCGAATGTCTGCCCTAATATCTGCAACTAATGTCTGCCGTTGTGTCTGCCCTTGTGTCTTATTGTAATTCCGTCCTTGTCATAAGATCGAATGATAAACTAGACACGTGTATTTTCCCATGTAAAAAATCAAAAAGATAAACTTTTTGAGTCATGGAAAAAATCTATACGTAATCTTTGTCAGTTGATTTAAGCAAAGTCTTGATGTGTTCACAGGTGTGTAGGAAGTTTTGATGTGTTCACAGGTGTGTAAGAAGTCTTGATGTGTCTACAGGTGTGTAAGAAGTCTTGATGTGTTCACAGGTGTGTAGGAAGTTTTGATGTGTCTACAGGTGTGTATGAAGTTTTGATGTGTCTACAGGTGTGTATGAAGTCTTGATGTGTCTACAGGTGTGTATGAAGTTTTGATGTGTCTACAGGTGTGTAGGAAGTTTTGATGTGTCTACAGGTGTGTATGAAGTTTTGATGTGTCTACAGGTGTCTAGGAAGTTTTGATGTGTCTACAGGTGTGTAGGAAGTTTTGATGTGTCTACAGGTGTGTAGGAAGTCTTGATGTGTCTACAGGTGTGTAGGAAGTTTTGATGTGTCTACAGGTGTCTAGGAAGTTTTGATGTGTCTACAGGTGTGTAGGAAGTTTTGATGTGTCTACAGGTGTGTAGGAAGTCTTGATGTGTCTACAGGTGTGTAGGAAGTTTTGATGTGTCTACAGGTGTCTAGGAAGTTTTGATGTGTCGACAGGTGTGTAGGAAGTTTTGATGTGTCTACAGGTGTGTAGGAAGTTTTGATGTGTCTACAGGTGTATAGGAAGTTTTGATGTGTCTACAGGTGTGTATGAAGTCTTGATGTGTCTACAGGTGTGTAGGAAGTTTTGATGTGTCTACAGGTGTATAGGAAGTTTTGATGTGTCTACAGGTGTGTAGAGAAAAACCTAGAAACAGGTAGCAGGTATTGGATCTGCGAGTGTCAGGTAGGTTTCCTGGTATCAACGGAAACGGTAAGTACAAAAATCGAAATTTTATGCGGTACCGTGCTGTGTTGTACCTTGTTGCGTTGTGTTGTACCGTGTTGCGTTGTGTTGTACCGTTTTGCGTTATGCCGTACCGTGCTGCGTTGTGCCGTGCTGTGTCGTGCTGTACCGTGCTGTGTAAAGCTGTTGTTGCAAGCGATCACGCATCATGCATAGAAGGTTCTGTCGACAGTAAGGGACATCGCCAATTCTACTAAACTTTCTCCACAGGAAAATGGGCAGACAACTTTCTCAATGCTATTGTAGTATTGTATTACATCAGTTAGTTCCCTTACATTAAATGTCATTTTAATTTTAAGCCACCAGTACGCCACCAGTTCAGGAACACCATGACATTAGATGCCATCTGACATTCATGGATATTTACATACCGGTGTCTGTAGCACCAGACGCCAAGGTTTGTGTGTGGGTGGTAGTTGTGTGGTCGGCAGTTGTGTGGTCGGCAGTTGTGTGGTCGGCAGTTGTGTGGTCGGCAGTTGTGTGGTCGGCAGTTGTGTGGTCGGCAGTTGTGTGGGTGGTAGTTGTGTGGGTGGTAGTTGTGTGGTCGGCAGTTGTGTGGGTGGTAGTTGTGTGGGTGGTAGTTGTGTGGTCGGCAGTTGTGTGGGTGGTAGTTGTGTGGTCGGCAGTTGTGTGGGTGGTAGTTGTGTGGGTGGTAGTTGTGTGGTCGGCAGTTGTGTGGGTGGTAGTTGTGTGGGTGGTAGTTGTGTGGTCGGCAGTTGTGTGGGTGGTAGTTGTGTGGTCGGCAGTTGTGTGGTCGGCAGTTGTGTGGTCGGCAGTTGTGTGGGTGGTAGTTGTGTGGGTGGTAGTTGTGTGGTCGGCAGTTGTGTGGGTGGTAGTTGTGTGGTCGGCAGTTGTGTGGGTGGTAGTTGTGTGGGTGGTAGTTGTGTGGTCGGCAGTTGTGTGGGTGTTAGTTGTGTGGGTGGTAGTTGTGTGGGTGGTAGTTGTGTGGTCGGCAGTTGTGTGGGTGGTAGTTGTGTGGGTGGTAGTTGTGTGGGTGGTAGTTGTGTGGGTGGTAGTTGTGTGGGTGGTAGTTGTGTGGGTGGTAGTTGTGTGGGTGGTAGTTGTGTGGGTGGTAGTGTCAGTAGAATGGTGTGTGTGAGCAGGTAGCTGACGTGTGCGTGTGAGCAGGTAGCTGGCGTGTGTGTGTGTGAGCAAGCAGGTAGCTGAGGTGTGTGTGTGAGCAGGTAGCTGACGTGTGTGTGTGCGCAGGTAGCTGACGTGTGTGTGTGTGAGCAGGTAGCTGACGTGTGTGTGTGTGTGAGCAGGTAGCTGGCGTGTGTGTGTGTGAGCAGGTAGCTGAGGTGTGTGTGTGTGTGAGCAGGTAGCTGACGTGTGTGTGTGTGTGTGAGCAGGTAGCTGACGTGTGTGTGTGTGAGCAGGTAGCTGAGGTGTGTGTGTGAGCAGGTAGCTGACGTGTGTGTGAGCAGGTAGCTGACGTGTGTGTGTGTGTGTGAGCAGGTAGCTGACGTGTGTGTGTGTGAGCAGGTAGCTGACGTGTGTGTGAGCAGGTAGCTTACGTGTGTGTGTGTGAGCAGGTAGCTGACGTGTTTGTGTGAGCAGGTAGCTGACGTGTGTGTGTGTGTGAGCAGGTAGCTACGTGTGTGTGTGTGTGTGTGAGCAGGTAGCTGACGTGTGCGTGTGAGTGTGAGAGCAGGTAGCTTACGTGTGTGTGTGTGAGCAGGTAGCTGACGTGTGTGTGTGAGCAGGTAGCTGACGTGTGTGTGTGAGCAGGTAGCTGACGTGTGTGTGTGTGTGTGAGCAGGTAGCTGACGTGTGTGTGAGCAGGTAGCTGACGTGTGTGTGTGTGAGCAGGTAGCTGACGTGTGTGTGTGTGAGCAGGTAGCTGACGTGTGTGTGTGAGCAGGTAGCTGACGTGTGTGTGTGTGAGCAGGTAGCTGACGTGTGTGTGAGCAGGTAGCTGACGTGTGTGTGTGTGAGCAGGTAGCTGACGTGTGTGTGTGTGAGCAGGTAGCTGACGTGTGTGTGTGTGAGCAGGTAGCTGACGTGTGTGTGTGTGTGTGTGAGCAGGTAGCTGACGTGTGTGTGTGTGTGTGTGAGCAGGTAGCTGACGTGTGTGTGTGAGCAAGTAGCTACGTGTGTGTGTGTGTGAGCAGGTAGCTGACGTGTGTGTGTGTGTGAGCAGGTAGCTGACGTGTGTGTGTGAGCAGCTAGCTGACGTGTGCGTGTGAGCAGGTAGCTGACATGTGTGTGTGTGTGTGAGCAGGTAGCTGACGTGTGTGTGTGTGTGTGTGAGCAGGTAGCTGACGTGTGTGTGTGTGTGAGCAGGATGCTGACGTGTGTGTGTGTGAGCAGGTAGCTGACGTGTGTGTGTGTGAGCAGGTAGCTGACGTGTGTGTGTGAGCAGGTAGCTGACGTGTGTGTGTGTGTGTGAGCAGGTAGCTGACGTGTGTGTGTGAGCAGGTAGCTGACGTGTGTGTGTGTGAGCAGGTAGCTGACGTGTGTGTGTGTGAGCAGGTAGCTGACGTGTGTGTGTGTGAGCAGGTAGCTGACGTGTGTGTGTGTGAGCAGGTAGCTGACGTGTGTGTGTGTGAGCAGGTAGCTGACGTGTGTGTGTGAGCAGGTAGCTGACGTGTGTGTGTGTGTGTGAGCAGGTAGCTGACGTGTGTGTGTGTGAGAAGGTAGCTGATGTGTGTGTGTGTGTGCAGGTAGCTGACGTGTGTGTGTGTGTGTGTGAGCAGGTAGCTGACGTGTGTGTGTGAGCAGGTAGCTGACGTGTGTGTGTGTGTGTGAGCAGGTAGCTGACGTGTGCGTGTGAGCAGGTAGCTGACGTGTGTGTGTGTGTGTGTGTGAGCAGGTAGCTGACGTGTGTGTGTGTGTGTGAGCAGGTAGCTGACGTGTGTGTATGTGTGTGTGTGAGCAGGTAGCTGACGTGTGTGTGTGAGCAGGTAGCTGACGTGTGTGTGTGTGTGTGAGCAGGTAGCTGACGTGTGTGTGTGTGAGCAGGTAGCTGACGTGTGTGTGTGAGCAGGTAGCTGACGTGTGTGTGTGTGTGTGTGAGCAGGTAGCTGACGTGTGTGTGTGAGCAGGTAGCTGACGTGTGTGTGTGTGAGCAGGTAGCTGACGTGTGTGTGAGCAGGTAGCTGACGTGTGTGTGTGTGTGTGTGTGAGCAGGTAGCTGACGTGTGTGTGAGCAGGTAGCTGACGTGTGTGTGTGTGTGAGCAGGTAGCTGACGTGTGTGTGTGAGCAGGTAGCTGACGTGTGTGTGTGTGTGTGTGAGCAGGTAGCTGACGTGTGTGTGTGAGCAGGTAGCTGACGTGTGTGTGTGAGCAGGTAGCTGACGTGTGTGTGTGTGTGTGTGAGCAGGTAGCTGACGTGTGTGTGTGAGCAGGTAGCTGACGTGTGTGTGAGCAGGTAGCTGACGTGTGTGTGTGTGAGCAGGTAGCTGACGTGTGTGTGTGTGTGTGAGCAGGTAGGTGACGTGTGTGTGTGAGCAGGTAGCTGACGTGTGTGTGTGTGTGTGAGCAGGTAGCTGACGTGTGTGTGTGTGTGTGTGTGAGCAGGTAGCTGACATGTGTGTGAGCAGGTAGCTGACGTGTGTGTGTGTGTGTGAGCAGGTAGCTGACGTGTGTGTGTGCGCAGGTAGCTGACGTGTGTGTGTGTGAGCAGGTAGCTGACGTGTGTGTGTGTGTGAGCAGGTAGCTGGCGTGTGTGTGTGTGTGAGCAGGTAGCTGAGGTGTGTGTGTGTGAGCAGGTAGCTGACGTGTGTGTGTGTGTGTGAGCAGGTAGCTGACGTGTGTGTGTGTGAGCAGGTAGCTGACGTGTGTGTGTGTGAGCAGGTAGCTGAGGTGTGTGTGTGAGCAGGTAGCTGACGTGTGTGTGAGCAGGTAGCTGACGTGTGTGTGTGTGTGAGCAGGTAGCTGACGTGTGTGTGTGTGAGCAGGTAGCTGACGTGTGTGTGAGCAGGTAGCTTACGTGTGTGTGTGTGAGCAGGTAGCTGACGTGTTTGTGTGAGCAGGTAGCTGACGTGTGTGTGTGTGTGAGCAGGTAGCTACGTGTGTGTGTGTGTGTGTGAGCAGGTAGCTGACGTGTGCGTGTGAGTGTGAGAGCAGGTAGCTTACGTGTGTGTGTGTGAGCAGGTAGCTGACGTGTGTGTGTGAGCAGGTAGCTGACGTGTGTGTGTGAGCAGGTAGCTGACGTGTGTGTGTGTGAGCAGGTAGCTGACGTGTGTGTGTGTGAGCAGGTAGCTGACGTGTGTGTGAGCAGGTAGCTGACGTGTGTGTGTGTGAGCAGGTAGCTGACGTGTGTGTGTGTGAGCAGGTAGCTGACGTGTGTGTGTGAGCAGGTAGCTGACGTGTGTGTGTGTGAGCAGGTAGCTGACGTGTGTGTGAGCAGGTAGCTGACGTGTGTGTGTGTGAGCAGGTAGCTGACGTGTGTGTGTGTGAGCAGGTAGCTGACGTGTGTGTGTGTGAGCAGGTAGCTGACGTGTGTGTGTGTGTGTGTGAGCAGGTAGCTGACGTGTGTGTGTGTGTGTGTGTGTGTGTGAGCAGGTAGCTGACGTGTGTGTGTGAGCAGGTAGCTACGTGTGTGTGTGTGTGAGCAGGTAGCTGACGTGTGTGTGTGTGTGAGCAGGTAGCTGACGTGTGTGTGTGACCAGCTAGCTGACGTGTGCGTGTGAGCAGGTAGCTGACGTGTGTGTGTGTGTGTGAGGAGGTAGCTGACGTGTGTGTGTGTGTGTGTGAGCAGGTAGCTGACGTGTGTGTGTGTGTGAGCAGGATGCTGACGTGTGTGTGTGTGAGCAGGTAGCTGACGTGTGTGTGTGTGAGCAGGTAGCTGACGTGTGTGTGTGAGCAGGTAGCTGACGTGTGTGTGTGTGTGTGAGCAGGTAGCTGACGTGTGTGTGTGAGCAGGTAGCTGACGTGTGTGTGTGTGAGCAGGTAGCTGACGTGTGTGTGTGTGAGCAGGTAGCTGACGTGTGTGTGTGTGAGCAGGTAGCTGACGTGTGTGTGTGTGAGCAGGTAGCTGACGTGTGTGTGTGTGAGCAGGTAGCTGACGTGTGTGTGAGCAGGTAGCTGACGTGTGTGTGTGTGTGTGAGCAGGTAGCTGACGTGTGTGTGTGTGAGCAGGTAGCTGATGTGTGTGTGTGTGCAGGTAGCTGACGTGTGTGTGTGTGTGTGTGTGAGCAGGTAGCTGACGTGTGTGTGTGAGCAGGTAGCTGACGTGTGTGTGTGTGTGTGAGCAGGTAGCTGACGTGTGCGTGTGAGCAGGTAGCTGACGTGTGTGTGTGTGTGTGTGTGAGCAGGTAGCTGACGTGTGTGTGTGTGTGTGAGCAGGTAGCTGACGTGTGTGTGTGTGTGTGTGTGAGCAGGTAGCTGACGTGTGTGTGTGAGCAGGTAGCTGACGTGTGTGTGTGTGTGTGTGAGCAGGTAGCTGACGTG